TCTCTTGGTCTAAGCATTTTTGTCAACTTATGGATTCTTCAATTTTTCTAGGTTTGTAGTTTTTCTGGGTTCCTTAACACTACAAAGTGGCACTGATTTTAATTTCAAGATAAGCCTATTCGGCTTATATTATTATTATAGGTGGCTGAATACACTGGAACTATCAAAATATAAGCATTTATTTGCGGATCGATCATTATATGTAATTGCTGATCTGGATGGAATTGTCAATAAAATGGTTTCTTTCTTTCATAAATTACTCTTTAATTTTACTTTAAAAATCAGAAAAGTAGTAGATTCAGGTGTTATTTAATTTATAAACTGAACAATTTTATGAGTGGAAAAAAAAATTAAGAATATAATTGTTCTGCATTCATAAAACAAAATTAAATCTTGTCAAGTTTTAGTATCTATTATCGATAGGTGTTACTGAAGAAGATGCGATAAAAATGTTAAATTCATATTTATCTTGGTTTAACATTTTCAATGCTCAGCGGTTGAGCAGTTTGTCATCTGATGGCTCTACGATTCGAGTGCAAAGAACCCGTGTAAGTGGTTCCATTCGGGCATCTCATACGAAGTAATCACGATAACCTTTCCAGTCTTCGTTTTTAATATGCATTCTCTGTAATGTTTTTTTTTTTTGAAATCATATCTGGAATTGGAATTTTAAATTTATGATTAATGATTATAATGCTCTTTTATTTTTGATATATGAAGTGTCTTATCAAATTTCTATCTTTAGAAACTTGTAAAATTTTATGAGTGTTACTTTGATCAAATTCTTGATGGAAACGGAAAAAAATATTTGCTGATAAAAATATAATCAGATTAATTAATGATTATAATGCTCTTTTATTTTTGATTTTCATTTCAACCATTCCCATTTACACTGTTTTCACTTAACTGTTATGTTTATCGTTTTCTTTTGTTTATTCATTCGTTTTGTTGTTGTTGTTGTTGAAGCTAATCAATAACTAGATTAACCAATTTCATTAAATTAGCTAACGTCAATCACTGACGAATGTTATCAATAGAAAAATGAATGTTAACAATGTCAACATTTACTAAGCGTTATCAATAGAAGAATAAATGCTAACATTGTCACAATCTGTTTATCATATTATGCTTGTTAAAGGGAATAAATTTTTTTTTATACATGTTCTTCTGCTGACTTTAAAGATTGAAAATTGCATTGATCAAATCAAATTTAATAATAAATTATTTTAAAGCCGAAAAAAAAGCTTTTTTTAATCATTAATAAAGTGATTTCAGACCATTCACTAATATTTTTATAACATTTTAAAACATCTTTTAACTCTAATAAAATCCATTCGTCCTTCTTTTTCAAGTTTATTTATTTCGACTTGAAATAATATATTAAATGGATTTGAAATTTTGTGAATTTTAACTTTTGATTGATTTTTATTAGCGCTTCTTTGTTGATCAGTTTTGAATGTTACTAAACAAATTATGTTTGAAATTTATATAAAATTATCGCCAAAGTAAGAAGGCTTTGTTTTTTGAAAACAAATGCGGGTAAGTGAAATTTTTATTTAAGCAAATTCTGATTAAATTATTGTGCTGAACAATTTAGATTTTAAAAAGTTTTTGTGATTTTTATTGGGTTGAAAATTTTCTAAACTATCACTTCTTCCATTTATTGTATTTTTCTTGAAATTAATTTTCAACGTTACTGATGACACTATAGTATGCTTTTCCAATACATTAACTCCACATTAACAATTTAACTAGGTTTTGCAACAAAGACTAATTAAGCTTTTTGTCATAGATCAAAAAACAAAATTAAAAAAAAACGAAGCTTGAGGATATTGCAGGAAATAATCACCGCACTCACTCTAAAATATTTCGTATGAGTAATACTGAAATACAAGTTGATAATTCATTTTACTCTATATTTTAAAGATGAAAATTTACTAAATTTAATAATTTTCTTTCTTGAAAATTATATATAAACTTAAGGAAATGCAAAGGGAAAAAAATTTATTAGAACTTACTAGATTTAAATTCCATAAAATGCACATGAAATGTGAACGTCAAAAAATAAAAAAATTGCGTCAACATTAAAATATTAAGTAAACTTGAGAAAGACTCAAGCCCGAAAAAATATTGTATCAACATTAAAATAATTGATATTTCTTGATGAATCTTCCTCAATAAAAGGATAAATCCATACCTTCTCTTTTACCAGTTTGATAGGATTAATAGATCAATAAAAAAATAATAAATCAAATAAATAAAAAGTAAATAAACAAATATAAGTATATATATATAAGGCTTGAGGAAAAAAACTGCAAATCTGTGTGTACGGATAAACTCACATCGTTCCTATAAAAGTCGAATCAGAAGAAATGTTATCATGGACATTGTTATCATCATCGTTAAGAAGTGAAGTTTGTCCGTTTGCAAATAAGAAATGTTGAGTATTTAAAAGAAATTGAAAATTCAAAAAAAAAATTGATTGGATCGGAAGGGAAATAGTGCAAAAAATCAAATGAAATGATTGCAGTTAAAAGGACAGAAAGGCTTAAATAACTGGGTGACTTGCTAAAGTTGTACTTCTTAATTAATTAAATAATTAAGTGAATTACTATACTAATATTTATTAACTTGTTAAAGAATATCAGTAATTTATCTAATAATGATAGTAGTATATATAACAATATAATGATAACAAATATTATGATAAAATGTGACATTTCCTTTGTAATCAATGATTATTTATCAAATTAATTGATTTAATTAGAGTTATTAGAAATAGAACATGTAATTGTTTAACAGCATCCCATGTTGATAATTTAATTGAGACACAATAAGTGAAAATATCTGAAATTTTTTTAAAAAAAGAAATTGATGGAATAAATGTTAATATTTTAAATAATAAAAAAAAATTAACATAGTGAGTATTGGAATTACTTAATATGCATATCAAATGATATTTTGTTTTCTTGATTCAAAAAGAAAAATTTTAGCTTTTCAAAAATAAAACTGAAAATCTCTTGAGAAAAAATTATACAAGGTTTTTTTAAATTGAAACTAAGATAGAGTTCGTATAAATTTTAAAATTTAACAAAATATTCACTAATTTTAAATTTATTTTTTTTGTAAAAAATTTGATATAGAATATATATTAGTCGCAAAAAAGGAAAAATGATAATATAAAATTTAATTTTATTAAGTAATTTAAAACTATAATGCAAAGATCAGAAGAATATGCAATAAAACAAAGCATCGAATGTGTGCTTATGTGTTAGCACTAAAATATTTTGCTGCCTTTTATTTTATTTTCTTTTTTTAATTTTTTATATTTCCATTTTTTTTTTTTTTTTTTTTTTTTTTTGTAGAAAAGAAATTTTTGCACTCATATTTTTGCACTCATATGGAATTTACAAATTCATTCTTAATGATCTATTATTAATTAAATGATCTATTAATAGGAATAAATGAATTAATTGCACGAAATCTAGAAACACAATTAGATGCTAAAGCAGACTACTGAATTATATTTCTGATGGTCACTTTTACATTTCATTGCATATTGATTATCAGTATCATTTATCAACTTAGTAAAATTAATTTGCGAAAAGTAAACCAATTTAAATGGTCGACAATTAATTATCAATTATCAATGAATTAATCAATGAACGTTTATATTACATACATTTACATTTTTTGAATTATTAAAGAGAAAAATGAAAATTTTAAAAACATAAATTTATAAAATTATGGAATATAATTGTTATTTTGAACTAAATGGTAGCATATAGATATTGTACACTTATTAATTTAAGCGAAAAAAAAAAATGTATAAATTTCAACGTTTTTCTTGGCTTTTATATAATGGATGACAAAATTTTATGATTCATAAATAATTTCCACTCAAATTTGCAAATTTTCACTTTGCTCATTTTATTGCGAAAAATTTCTATTCTTTTAACCTATTAGTTTACTGTATTTAATGACCTAATGCTTAGAATAAGTATCACTTAGAAATTGGAAATAGTTATGTTTATATCACAATCAATCGTAATCTCTTTTCATGATTCTTCTACTGGACGATTTAGATTGACTAATTTGATTCATTGCAAATTTATTGCGAATTTTTATAATATCCATGACGTGATGAGACCAAAATGCATCCATACAGCACGAAAAAAAAAAAAGCAAGCTAATATAAGCTATTTAAAAATGCACACGAAAAAGAAATGATAACAATAAAGACAAGAAATTAATAAGAAAAATCGCTGATTTAAATTCTACGAACGCAAAAGTTGCCAAAAATGTACGAAATATGCAGCAAGTTCTATAATGTAATACATTAATCCTAAAAATGTACAATTAAACAAGCAAAAGTGTAGATGGAATTTATAAAACTAAAAATTTTATAAAAACAAAAGAATTTTGAATTGATATTAAAAAAAAAAAGCAAAAAAGCTATGTAACGGATCTTACAAAATTCAAAACATAAATAGAAATTTTGAAAAAATAAATTTTTGGAATATTTCAATAACAAACAAATATTATTATTAAAATTCAGCGATACGAATTGCTTTTCTTACTATGATTTTTTACTTAAAATAAAAACTAAATTAAAAGCTTAAAATAGAGATCAAAATTTAACAACAGAAATGCTGAACACAAGTAAAAGCCAGCTTTGGAAGCTTAACATAAATGATGCAAAAGATGCAAATTAAGTAACATATTTGTATGATTACAAATAATTCTAATTCTTAATTATAATTTAAATACTTTTACATCTGTGGCAAAAATTTCAACTAACAGTTATATAATCTAAATTTAGTGTTTTATATGAAATGTTAAATCTTATACAGGATTACAGTTTTAAAGCATAGAGATAGTATGTTTCAAAAAGTTACAAATAGAATTATTTAGAATGCCTTCATAATAAATAATTCCAATTAATAATTTAGAATTAACGTTTTTTTCTATTATACAGGATTATAATTTCAAAGTAAATTTTAAACAGCAACAGCAATTTCCATTGATTCAGTTCTCTCTTGTTGCGCAATTAAATTACCGAAAAGTGATTGGAATGCATTTTTGTAAGCTATAGAATGTACACCTTTAAGCTGATGAATTTCAACAATTCTTTCTTCATTCTGCAACAAATAATTTAAAGCAGAAAAATATTACCATGAGGTGCCATTCAAGGAAAAAAAGCATATCATTTAAGAAGGATACTACATGATAATTGCATTAGAAAGAAATATTCTCAAAACAATCAAAAAAAAAAATTGTTGAAATATTAGAATTTATTTTTGTCAAGATTCGCAATAGTTTATTTACAGATTAAAAATGTGTTACCTTTTCATTATTTGTCATAACACTTTTAATGTTTTCAAAAATTGAATGGCACTGTCTGCTCTGATGGTATTTGTTACAGAATCGATATATGTCAATTTTTAGCTAAATAAAAAGACAGCATTTTTATGACGAGCTAAAATAAATGTAAAGAAAATGTACTATGTTTGTAAACCTATTAAATTCAAAACATATTTTCATCGTGTGAAAAAAAAAAAAAAGGAAAAAAATCTAATTTCTAAAGATAAATCACAGATTTAGAGTAATTAGTAATAAAATCGAATGAGTACAAGATTGACACGCTTAGTATTAATTATAACAAACAAATAATTCATACATTTTTAATATCAGTAAAAAAGAAACTTTGACAAGTCAATAAATTTCTGAAAATGAAAAAAAGTAGCAATTCAAAATACTTACACCAGCAATTCGTTGATTTATGTGTGAAATATGTTCAAGATACTTCCGTTTTTCCAACTGTTGCTTTACTTTTGGCTGTGACATATCAACAATATATGGAATTTGATAAAAACGTGAATCCTAAAAATTACTATAATATATAATAAATTTTTCATTGCTAAAATCATTTATTGTTTACATTGAGCAATAATAATTTCTTTTTCCACTACTTTCTTTTTTTTTTTTTTTTTTTTTTGATATCAGACTAACCGCTAAAATACTTTCCGCTCTTCTATACAATTCATCCAACTCATCTTTCTTTGAGACATGCATTGACAATAATGTTAATGGACCATTTATATCTGATGGGATCATTACTTCATCCATTGCATTCAACATTTGCATCCTTTCATTTGCCTTAAAGTAATGAATTTTTTACCTGATTAATTAACTAACGAACTAATTTAGAAAAGACGATTTTTTTTTTTTTTTTTTAATAATTATGTCTACTGATTTCCAATTCTTTACTCGTAGTTATTTTATTGATTAGCCAAACCATAAATACAAAATTATTTATTATACAAATATAAAATAAAGCCTATGTTCTAATGATTATTTATTGTCAGAAACAAATGTTTGAATATAAAAATACAAATATATTTAGAACTAAAACTATTATCAGGAATATTCAGATGGTAAGTCAATTTTCATCGCTCAATCTATTGTTATTTCAATTACAGCAAAGATATATGAATATACACTTAATTTTTCTCAAAAGATTATAATGTAAATCATTAAATCATTAACTCATTTAGTCATTAAATTACATCACTTTAAAATATAACACTAGCACACATTTATCTCTTATTAGATGTCAGAGATAAGATTATCTGATCTATATTATCTCAAAACAGCAACTAGTTTTTTTTTTTTTTTTTCATACCGAATATCATACGATTAGATTCTTATTGTTAAATTTCTAAATTTCTATTAAAATCTTACATATTAAAATAAAGGAGTGAAAAAAAAAAAATTACAAATCATTCTAACAATCAAACTTCTTCATATTATTTGATATTTCATAATTCATATATGAATTATAATGCAAAAATAAGAGAGTTTTGTAATACCTTTAACTGTCGAATATGTTGATAAGCCCATGCTAATGCTAATTTTGTCTCTTTCAATTCATTCTCCAGATAAGCCATTTCATTAAATTGTTCAGAAATTTGTAAGTTGAAATCGATTGGTGTAATTGATGCTTCTTGCATTTTAGGATGATTTGTAGCCAAATTCATTGTTTGCAATTGCTTAAATGAAAATTCAACTTTATAACATTTGTATTATCTTCTCTAATATATCTCAACACCACATATTATTAAAATTTTCATACCTCCCTCTCCTTATCTGTCTCTTTCTTTCTTTGTCTAAACAATATTTGCAAAATTAGCTAAAATGATTATTCAAAAAGTCATCTATTACTTTCATCATATTCTTATCATAATGAATAGCCAATTATCATTCTATTAATAATTCGATTAGTCAAACTTCTTTTGAAAATTAGGGGCTAATATAATTCGAATCAAAAACATATAGTGAAACATTCCTCACTGAGTCATAAAATTATCATGCTTAATCGATAACTTTTCTTATCTTTACAGCTAACAACATAACTAAAATGGTATAAAACTTATTGACAACAAATCATTACATGTAGCTTTCTAGGTAAAATTCACGATGTAAAGTTAATAAATGTAAATTAAATCAAATCAAATCAAAAGAAAAAAAAAACAAAGAATCATTCTTCTAAAAAAGTTCAATAAAGTTTAATAAATATAATACATACACCTAACAACACTTTTTTACTGATCGTTCTGGCACGATTTCGCAATTCAAAATTTTCTTTTTCACACATATCAATTTCATGCTGCAAAGCTTCCAACGTATCTTCGTATTCTCTGCAACAATAAAAAGCAAAAAAAAAAATAAGTGTAAAGAAAGAAAATGAAAGTAAAATGAATGACAGAAGAGTGAGTTCATTTAAAAGAAATACATGAATTAATTAAAATGGGCTTATATATTACAAATCGATTATAAAATGTTACTTAAATTTAAACTTCAATTATTAGTTAGTGAAGTGATTCTTTAGCAAATAAAAGTAAGAGCAAAAAGACCTCTTTTTTCAAAAAGAAAATTGAAAATTTTCGATTAATCTAATATTTAATTAGCAAATGAAATATTTAAGGATAATTTGATGTTAAGACGGTAAATCCTATCATTTGCAAAACTGTTTAATCAAAATGGAAAGTGATAAAAAAAGATACAAAAGTGAAGTGATTTTTTAGCAGATAAAAGTAGAAGATTTTTTTGTTTATTTTTGGAATAAAATATTATTTTATACTCTAGATATAAAAAGGAATAATATTTCGTCTTTCATTAATCAAATGTCTCAGTCAGGAAGTTATCGTCTCAATCTTTGACCTTATTGACTCTCTCCATTTTTTTCCATATAGTATGCATTACTGTGCATTTTTTAGTGCCATTTTTAGTATAAATAAATAAATATATATACATAACTATTTCATTTGTTATTCATATCAATCCATACTAGCCACTTATTCAGAGCACAAATGAATTTAATTCTTCATAATCATAATCGTAATTCGATAATTCTTTTGACTATTTCTTTTTCAGGGTTTAACGCATCCACTTGGTTAAGTAGATTTTATCACTAGAGAATTATTTTAATCTGGTAACTTACATTTTTGCTTTCCGTAACTGATCACGTAAGTCTGCATTTTGAGAATGCAATTTTTGCACTTCAATTTTTTCCATCGATTCTATCTTATTTTCAGCTAATTCCAAACGTACCTTTAAAAATAATGTGTTAAACAAAGGTAACTGAACTGAAAAATTAGCTGCTTATTGTCATACATTATATGTTATATATTAGCATAATTGAGGATCAAAGTTAAGCGTTAATTAAATTCAATTACATTAGTTAGATATTTTTTTATTTTTTATTCGTATATTAAGCAAAATAAGATTGGTAAGCAACATAAGTTTACAAATGAAGATAATATGATAGTTCAAGAAAAATTGAACATACTTTGTAGTTGCTAATATCATCAAGCTTAGTTCGAAGATTCAGTTTTAGTTCCGTTATTTCATTTTCTTTTTTTTCCAAATTCCAACGAAGCTTCTCAGCTTCCAATGCATCTTGTCTTCGAGCATTTGCTCGTTTCAACAATGGTGATAAAAGAGACTATAATACAATTACTGTTATACAATAAAAGAATATTAGCCATTCTTAATTATCAAGATTACGTTGAAGTAGCAATAAAATTTTTAGTGCACTATATAATTAATCCAAGTGTTTATTCTAAATAATATGTAAATAAAAGTAGAAAGAAAAATCAAAAGTTACAAAATAGAAAGACAAAAAAGAATAAGAAAGTTCCTAACACTACTAAGGTAATGTAGATTTAGCATTGAAAAGTATAAAATAGATAATGCATTTGATAGAATTAACATTTCAGAGAGAAAAGTAATATATTTCTATTCATAAATTAATCAAACCGTTAATCTATTGATTTTAATTGAGCAATTAATTTCTTTATATTGAAAATTAACATACAAAAATCAAATCTTGACATAAACAAACCTTATCCATCGGACTGTTCAATAGCTCTTCATTATCAAATTTGTCAATTAAATCACTGATAACATTTTGCACAGCTCTCATATATTCACTGAAAATTCAAAACTGATTAGTACTGGAACTCAAGGAATTAAAATTTCCACATCCAAAATTTATTTTCATTTGATTCTTTTTTTAATATTATTGTTAATATCATCATTTTATACTTTTACCACTATACTCTTCTCCATCATATTTTTTAAATTAATCAGTCAATTTCACGATTATTATTTCCATTTTCTTAATTAGCACTGGCTGTCTGATCCCTCCTTATAGTACTATGGACGTTACAATAAATTAGCTTCTTCTACTCTAACCAAATCTCACATATTGCAACCTACTTTATAATCTTCGTAGCTTCAGCTCCATTTAAAGCGCCATGCACTTTTTCTACAGAATGCAAAAGAGCTTCTTGAATGCAATTTTCTTCCAAACTCTCGACTTCTAAATATTCAAGAATAAACGAAATTAATTTACCTGATCCAATTTATTATAAATTTGGGGACAAATTGTTTCTTTGGCAAGAAAATAAATCTTACAGCAGTTGCCATTATGGATATAGAGAGAAACCTAAAAATGTCAAATAAGTTCTACAAATGAAAGAGACCTGTTATGGTGCTCAATTGAATAGTTGTAATACTGCACACATTGTCAAATATTAAAGTTAAATTTTTGAATGGTGTTTTCCAATTTGCTAACTGAATTTCCAGCTGAAATAAATCAATAATAATTAGTAGTGTAAATTTTAATGAGTATAAAAAGAATTTTTTGAAAGAATTTTTGAAAGAAATACATAATGAGAATTTTGAAATTTGTAAAATTTAGGCAAGAAGATTTTATAGCAAAAATATGAAGAAGATAAAAAACAAACATCTTGAGTGAATATTAGATTTTCGTCAATTGAGATATGATTTTTTAAACGCATGCAAAGCTGCTCACATTTTTGTACCCATATTAACACTGATTCCATATATTCATTAGTATTACTCTTAGTAGCATGTGATGACTGAAATAATCATAATTAGGAATACGCAAAATGATAGCATCCTTCAATGCTCAAAAGAAAATATTAAATGTATAAAACTTACAAGCGTAAAAATAACACGTTGCACATTAATTTTTACCCAAAATAATCCTTGAAGATATTGTAAACAAATATCCAAAAATAATTGCTTCACATCATACCATTCTCGTGAAAAGTAAATAGACAATATATTCTGTAACACATTATTATATCTAATAGATGAATTATAGGTATCCTTCAAACGATTAATAATTGTTGAGCTATACCTGATAAGTAATTCTATCAACAATGGTTCGAAATAAAAATTTTTCTGGAATCAAAATCCTTCAGACTTTAAGAATGAAACCACCAATACTTTCACAGTAATACTATTATGCTATAGTAAGTAAAACTTGTACAGTACTGTGATGAATGTTCCAACATCTCCGATATCACAATCCAAAAGTCATCCAGAATTTTAAATTTGCACTCCATATTAGATTCTGATTAATGGAAAAGCAATGAAAAAAGCATTTTTTTTTTCATTTTTTTAAAAAATGACTTATTTATATAGTGATGAAAACTATATGTCAGCTCAAAATTTCGAAAGTAAAATAAGCTCAAATTTTTAAAGTCAAAATCAGAGCATTTCAAAATATATAGTCTTCAGAATTCTAAAGGTAGATAAAATCAAATATTTTAATCCTTAAATCAATCCTTTTATGCTAAATATTTATACTAGATATTGTGAAAAGGTTAACGAACCTCCAAATGATTGATTGCCTTATTAATAGCGTCGGTCGCAGTGTTTTCATCGAATTTATCACTTTTAAGTAAATCAATGTAATAATCAATCATTCGTTCCTCCTTTGCAATATCACTTTGCAACGGTGCCAAACGTGACAATCGCTCTACCGTACATCGACAAACTACACTAAAACATTTTTCATATTAATTATATTTTAACTCATAACAAGAAGATATTTGTTAATCAAGATATGCAATGCAGAAACAAACACACTTGAATTTCAGATGTACTTTCAAAATTTAAACGAAATTTACTTAAATCGCTACCTAAAACAAAATATGCTTTGGATAAAACTCAACAAAGTTTACCTTTCACATTGCCGAACAGCACAGCCAAAATTGCTTAACAAGAATGAAAATTTTGCACAGTATGCCCACTGTTCCGCTTTGTGGCTTTTCGTTACGTGTTCACGACGTATTCCGCCAGATGCAGGTGGGTACTGCCAAAATGCATTGTTTCAAAATTTGAGGAAAAAAAAGTAAATTAAAATCTATATAAATTGATATCCTACATACATAAGCAATATTTGGTGATACCTTAAGATTAATTAATTTTGCCAGCAGAGTTGTTTTAGCCGAAAGACGAGAGCAGCAAACAGTTAGCAAAATTGCATCATTGTCGCCTGAAAAGCCAAAAATTCGAGTAACAAAAATTTCAATAAAACAGAAACAATAAAATCCTAACTGACCTCCAGGTTTTGTGAAATTATCAGGCAAAAATGCTCTCAAATAATTCGACAATTCAATTTCATATTTTAATTCTAGAGCACACACTTCCTTATCTACAATCTGAAATTATTCAAAAATTAATATGTAGAGATTTTCAAAATTTGTTTAAAGAAAAAAAAAACTTATAGAAGTTAAATTTACATAGAAATTTTACTTCAGCAAATGTTCGAGTAGCTGTAGTAAGTTGTATACTTTGCACCGACATTACATTGTTATCTTCTTCTCCTTTCAGTTGTTCGTTTAGGCTAATGATCTGAAACACAAAATAATTTGTAAGAAACAGGATCTCATGTAACCAATAAAACTGTCTGTAAAAATTGAATAAAAAAGAGAGAACAGAAATGATAAAATCGTTAGTCTTTTTCAGATAAAGAAAATAAAAAGACGATATTAATTGATAAAAGGTGTGTATTTCGATACATATTTTTGAAGAGGACTAATACAATGTAATTCAGCAATTAAAGCATAATTGAAATGTGTGCAGGAAACAATAGCTTTGTGCTATTTCATTTTTCATGAATTGGAAGGAAATCAGTCATAAGTGATTTACATAATTTTCAAACTTACTTCATCTTGCCTTTCCTGAATTTCTTCGTTCAGTTCACTAATTTTCCGTCGAAATTTCATGATCATTTTCTCGTATTCATCTACTTGCTCACCGTATACTTTGATTTGTATAAGAAGCTGAAATGTAAGGAAAAACATATTTACTGATTAAGCTTCTAGAATTTACAAATCACAAAAAAATCATTTGGAATTAAAAGCTCATTGTCTCACATTATTCATTCGACTATTTGTCAAATCCAATTCCTCTCGAAGTTCTTTTTCAGCTTCTCTTTGTGTTTCAAGAATTTCTTCATCCATTGATCTGATTGCCTCATAATCTTCAACGGTTTCTTCTAAGGTACTGCAATTTTTCCTGAGTCTTCCTTTCTTATTAGTAAATCATACAAAGCAGTGAACACAAAATCAGCATACTGATAAAACGCTTCAGGTTTTTTTCGAGAAATAATAGCTTCTTGATAGAAATGAGGTTTAAAATACCAATTCAAATTTGCTAACTTTAGCTTTTTTTCCAAATCCATATTTTTATCTGTCAAAATCTCGATCACTTTCTCACTTTCCGCTGCTGCATCAATCTAAAAACATATTTTAAAGCATTAGTAATAAAATAAATGCATTCCACGTATTAATTATATAAAAACAGTGAAGAGTCCGAAACAAATATTATCCATCTGAACACTAATAACAACAATTTCCCATTATATGAACAAAAGCATAGCTAATTGAATATCACAAGCAATGTGATGAAGCAGGAAAAAAACAGTGACAAATTGGATTTTTATACTAAATTTAAAAACAGAGCTAGTAAACCGAAAAAAACAAAAAAGAAACGCATGCATACTTACCCTTTCGGTTATATCAGTCAACTGCAATAATTGGTAAAATATTATAAGCAAAATTTTGAATAACATATATAATATATAATGAGAACGAGAATGTCTCAAAATATTAAAAATTAAATAATACTAACGTGTTCTTTTAGTATAAATATTGTCCGCTCGGCTTTCTGAAGTTCGTTTCTTAAATTTTCACAAATTTTGACTAACGTAGCAGACTCATTCTTTAGCGTCTCATTCTCTTGTGTCAATTCTCGTTTATCTTCCGCCAACTGACCGATTACATCGCGCATTCTAAACAGTAATATACACCTGATAAAGTTTGGATAGACCAAAAAAATTTGCGTGACATTTCAATTAATATAAAAAATACCAAATTAATAAGCCATGTACACTGGAAACTTCAACCAAGCCTACCTTACTATAGCTTCGCGCAATTTCATATTCTGACATCTCAACATTTTGAGCTCTATTCCATCATCCTTTAATAAAATATGCATTTCTAGAGTACCAATCTTGAAATGAACAATGTTTTTAGAATTTCATTTTGCAAATCTCAGCAACATCAATTTAATTTAATTCAATTCAAGTTCGTTATTAAATAATAAATCTATAACTCATTAGATGAGTAAAGGTTATCATTGGAACACAACCTTTGGCATATCATCTGCACTTGGTTTAATTTCACCTCGAAACAAATCCAATTCTATTTCCAATTCTTGTATACGCTGCTTCTCATTCTCAATGTCAGCCTTCAATAATTATGCTCAGTTAAAAAAAAAAAGTTTGGATAGAATTCCAGCTTTCATCGAAGAATTTTAGTTTTCAAACTGATAAACAAACACATATTTCACTTGCAAACAAACCTGCAGAAGATCTGCTTTCTCTTCAGCCATTTCCCTCTCTATTGTTGCCATTTCGAGTTGTTCTTCAAGTTCTGATAATCGTTCAAGCTTTTCTTGATCTATTCTTGATAGTTCAAGCAATTCCTGAATTAAGGCTAAATTTTGAGTTTTTCGAGCAGTATTTAAGAAAAGGAAATACGGAGGTTTATAATCATCTTTTTTCCTACCATTTTGAATTTGAATATGAAGTACAAAATAAAACAGTAACACTATGTGAATTTTTTAAAAAGCCTAAAATCTTGAAATTTCCAGTAATTCGAAAAAAATTTTCAGAAATTTAGGTTTGGCTAATGTACCTATTCTTCTTTAATTCTTGTTTCATTACATATTTATATTTAAATTAATGTAACAATTAGATTCACCGTCCATTTAAAGATCTGAATTGAAATCCAAAAACCATGTCATTATTTTTCATAAACACAAAATATACTAGACAGATTTTAGGGGACCAAAATTTTTTATGGAATAAGAGTGGAAAAGTAATAAACAATTCAACCAAACCTATCTACAAATATGAAGTATCATTACTTCTACAAATATATGAAGTATCATTACTTTCTCCTTTTCTTGCAATTGTCGCTGTAATTTTGAATTGGCTTCAACTAATTTAACTTTAAATTCACGTAATGCTTCCAGTTCGGCCACATTTCTCTCATATTCCGTAAGTTTCGGATAATCATCCTTCCGTTTCTGCCTTTAAAATTTTGAAATTTATTAATTAATTTATATGTTGAATTTAAGTCAATATAACGGCAATGATATTTAATATCATAAACCACAATCTGAAAACCAAAGCAGGGATTTCGAAAAACAAATTCTAATTTTAGAGTGGATAAAATGAGTTCAACTACATGAATTCTGACTTGAGAGCAGTAAGTTATGAAAATCTTGAAATTCCAAAAGGGAACAAATGACTATCTTAAGAATCAATCTGAAAAATCATTAGTGAAATAATAATAAATATATTAATTACTTTAATGTTTCTAGCTTTGTTGTTAAATCTTTGTTTTCAATACGAAGCAATTCTATTTCATTCTTGTTCTCATCCATCAAGTTTATTCTGAAACAGTGGAATAATTTAAATAGACTGAAGAATACAGTCGACATGTTTAACTTAAGAAACATTATGGTTTGATTTTAATTATTTATTTAACAGTCATTAAATTGCTAATGATAGTGAATTAATAAAAAGAAAAGAAAAACATCATGGAGTTAAGGGTAAGAAAAAATTATGGCAATAGTAGCAGCTTCAAAAGAAAACCACAATGAAATATTATAATTGGAATAACACTTAGCTGCTAGTTATATTGTAATTAGAACAATAGTTAGTTGCTAAGTTATAATTCTAATGAATAATTAAAGAAAGCAATAATTAAATAATTAAGAAAAAGGAAAAAATTAGATATTATATAAAAAAACAAACATTGATAAATTAAATAATTTGCGTATCCAGTAAATAAATATAATATATAAGAAAGAAAAAGACTTTTTTTTTCCTTTTTTTTACGTTCATCCTTTAAATATGAATAGATTAGTGACAATATACTATCAAATCAACAAATTCATCTCCTTCATAAGAAACAAACACTTTTTTTTTCCACTTTTGGCTAAAAAACGAAGCAAACAACAAAGTACCAGAACTTTGCATCTTAATGACGTGTACTTTTTTCACGGACCGTTATTTATTTTTCTAAACGTATGAGTGATTTACGTTGATGTAAGCGTGGGTGGGTGCGTGAATGATGTACGGGTGTAGTGTAAGTAATAGTAATTAAGTCTTCCTGAAAAGGTATGTTAGTGAAAAATAAATTTTATTATTAATGATGAAAATTTCATATATTAGTGAAAGCAAAAAAAAAGTAAACACGAAAACAAAAACAAAATGAAAAGAAAATGAAATGAGAAAGAAAAAAGAGGACGGAAGTTGGAAGAGATTTTCAAGTTATTATTTATCATAAAATAACACGGTCAAAGAAAAACAAGCATTAACAATAGCAAAATAATGTTTATTATTTATAATTTGAATATATTATTTAACTTTTTTTCTCTGCATCATGTTATGAAGTTGGCATGTACAATATATGACATTTGTCTTTCCTTTTCTTCTTTTTTCTTACTAGGATAAGATTTTTTAATGCTTTCTCTTTTTTCTCTATATCGTAGATAAGTTAGTTATGTAGCGGTTTAAATGTTTTCATGAAAAGTTTATATGAATATAAAGTCTTTTTACTGGTATTTTGCACATGTCATCTTTATTATTAATGATATTTTTGTTCAAAATATGCTATTATCAGATGAAAATTGCACCAGTTTTTATGTTGCTTTTAATGTATAATATATAAATGCATATGTCATAACTAATAAATATGGTACATTATATAATTATTTTATATAAACTGCATATAAATTATATAATAAACATCAATACTGGACAGAAATATATTTCTTAAAATTTTGAGAATATTTTTGTTTCTAAAATTACAAGAAGTATTCAGCGCAGTTGCAAATATTTTGAGAATATTTTTTATTATCATTTTATCATCTGTTTTTTTCGTTTGAATTATTCATGTATCACTTAATATTTGCACACTGTTTTCATTTCAGTACGTGAAAAAAAAATCCAGATATTCGATACTGAGCTAATACTTAATTAAATTTGGCGGTGGTACTGCGGGTGCTTTCATCCTGCTAGTAGCAAAATGAATAATATCAATTCGGTTCCGGTATGTTTTGAGAATTCTTTTTTGAGAAATATTTATTTTGATTAAATTTTTAAACTTCAACTTCAGAATTAGGAAGTTTATTGAGATCTCTTGGTTTGTCATGAAATATAGGCTAGAAAAAAAAGCAGGCCTGAAAATCACTTCTTCGCTAAAGTTTCTACGCGACATATGGAATCATTAGAATATAAAATGCCGAGTGAAAATATCTATGTAAGTTTGAAGCTAAGTTGTCCCGCGGAGTGCACGTGGCAACATAAATAATTTTGTTGACAGTGCTGAAATTTTGGAATGCGAAGTGGTATTATTGCTGTGAAATAATATATTTTATAGAGTTTTCTCGATTGAAAAATTTTGCTTCAAAATTTTCAGAATTCTCCACGAACTACCAGTTCGCCGGCTATGTCAGCAAATACTCAAAATACATTTTATAACCAACAAATGCTTCTACAGCAACAATATATGCAAATACCATCTCTTTATGGTAGTCAACAAACAGGAGGAATTGTAAGTTTAATTATACAAAATTATGAATGTTGAGTCTCTGCAAGTACAGTAATATGATGACGAATGAAAGAATAGCTGTTAACTCAGGTTTTTCTTTCGAAGAATTTCTGATAATAGATGCTATATTTTGCTTCTTAAAATATTTTTAGGATTTTACATTCTGATTATTCGGAAAATATTTACTATATTTTAAGTTACTTGTTGCAATAAATTATGACACTGTTGCAGATGTTACAACAACATCCGATGGACATTCAGGCATTTCAACAGCAGCAGCACCTGTTACAAGTTATGCAACAACAACAGCAGCAACAACACCAGGCATTGCAGAATCATCAGCGTACTTTAGGACTTCATGATTCACAAGTAAGTTCTGGAAAGTAAATTTTATTGAGTTCAGAAGAAAGGGTAATTCAATGATAATTGATAAGTCTTTTATCCTTTATCATTTAATTCTGATTAATTTACTACTTCAGTAATCCTGATGTTGTACGTAATTGTTACCTGAACTATTAGTTTTATGTTCTAAATGCTTTGCTAGATATAATGCTATAATTTCACGGTTGATTTTAACACCTGGAAGTAAAGATTCTTTGCTGTTATTTTAAGACGCAGTTAGCAAGTTTAAATTAGGTTATGAAATCAGTCGTTACTTTTCCATCGGTTGTAAATTAAATCATATTTAGCGAGCGGATTTTTTTTTTCTTTCAAAAAGTTATGATTGATAATTTATCTTAATTAGTGAGAAGAGATCCTGTTGAGAATTATTATATTATTTATTTGATCGGATTATTTGTCTGATTACTTGCTTCATTTGATTAACTGTTCATTAAATAATATCGCGTTTACTATGATTAATTAATTTATTGATTTTCTGACTAATTTTTAACTAATTAATTTTCTACCGTTTGTAATTTCATATTTTAATAGATTATCAATATTTTGATTTAACGTCTTCTGTTTGCAGACTTTTGCGCAACAGCAGGTAGTACTACAGCAGCAACAATATCAGCGTGCATTACAGCAAGCAGCACAGCAGCAACAAGTTTGTATTTCTATTGTTGAAACACAGGTTTTGTTTATATTTATTCATTTGCATTAGGATTTAAGTATAAATATTATTTAATATATTATGGCTAATGTTGAAGTTAATTTTTGCCCATATTTCTACTTTAATTTTCGACCTTTACATTCCCAGCTTGCCGCTCTCATCATTTTGTATTGATGTTTTTCAATAGCGTTACTAATAGTGTTCAGTTCACTTATGCCGTTAGAATTTCATCATATCAGTTTTAATTTTATGATTAAGCTAAAGTGCAGTACATTTTAACACGTACGATATAATTGTGTCTATTTCAAAAATTTTCCATGTTTTAGCAACAAAGGCAGTTGGAACAGCAACGTCTATTAGAACAACAACAACGGCAACTTGACCTAATGCATCAGGAGCGTGAGGCAGCTCGATTGCAACAGCAACAGGATGAAGTTAATTCAATAATTTTCGAATAAAGAATTCTTAAAGTAAAAAAAATGTTCTGAAAATTGAAGGAAAGAGAAAAATGATTTCAAAATGTAACTAGCTTATTAAAATTTCTTCAGTTGTTACGCCAAAAAGCAGAAGCATTGGCACGTCAGCAGCAGGAGGAAGCAGCACGGTTAAAGCAGGAAGAACTTCGGCGAATAGCTTATCAAAAGGAGCAACAACTTAAGCAGCAACGAGAAGCACATGAAAAATTACGTTTGGAACAGCAACGAATTTTGGAAGAACAGAAACGGCAGGTAAAAAAGTTTTCATTTTATAACAGCGGTTTTTCCTAAAAAGAAAAAAGTGCTGATTAGTTTAAGATCTCATCGCTTAATTTCAGCTTTTCAATCTCAATTAAACTTAGTTTTTCTCTCCAGGTAGTACTACTGATAATAATAAAGATCAATAAAATGTTTTTTGATTTCTTTAATCAGTATAGGTTGCGACTAGATAATATACCACAACTAGACAATTTGGATGGTTCAAATACATATTTTGACCTTCCGTTATGTTTTAATTTTTTTTTTTTTTTTTAATTTTAATTTTTGAATCTGAATATGAAATAATGATTCTTAAATTTGATTAGTAAGTTTTTCATTTTCTTCAGTAAATTTTGATCGTTTGCATTTTTCTCATAGGAAGAAACTCGAAAACTTGAGGAGCAACGCAAAGAAATGGAAAAAGTGCGTGCAATACGAGAGCAACAAAATCGAAAGCAACGTGAAGCACGTGAAGCTTTCAATGTAATGAAAGAAAAGGCCGATAGTTTTCCCATTCCCATACATCTGGCTGGTTGTCATACACTTACCAAATGTATGATTTACTACCAATTTTAAGTTCTAGGGTACTATTCAATGTAGTGAAAGAAAAACTCCCATCCCCATCTGGCTGATCATATACTTGCCATATGTATAGTTTACTCCCACTTTTTGCATATGCATTTGTATATACGAACGAACGAGATGTGGCATCCTGAAAATGGATCTTATCCATCACTCTGATCTAATTAATCACCTCAGTCAAATTCCTCTTACTTTTAGAGCTTAATTTCAGTAATTTTTGTTTCAGATATTTCCATTTTATTGACATGATGAGCATGTGTAGTCTTTTGGGAATTAAATAAAGAAATCGAGATATCTTTTTAAGAAAAATATTTACTTATAACAAATGAATCAGTTGTTATTTCATATTTCACGGAAAGATTTTGTTGCAGTGGTGAATCATCTACCATTTCCGTCTCTTTATTTACCTTATACGAACAACCTGAAATGTGAAACCATAGGTCTACCACGAATTGGACCTACACAGAAAGAAATTTTAATACAAGCGATTGAAGCTATTTCACAGATTGAAACTTCCGATGTGTTAGTTTTTTAGCAAAAATTTTCCTATTATTAAACAAAAACAGTCTAAATAATTTCCATTTTCTTTTTTTGTTCACTATCATATACTGCAGTCATGTCTATAGTTCCACTATGTGACGAGGGTAGTTTTTTATCCAATTACAAGCTATTGTACCCTGTACACAGTTTTTTGACTTAGAGCTAGCTTACTGTTTATTATGCTGAAATAACTGTGTAGTTAAATCTTAGGTTATTGAAACATGAGGATGGTGAAACGAATGATTTTGATGTACATGCGGCACCGTGTTTTGTGCGTGAACTATATGAAATCAACCATCAGGTATAAAATTGAAGTGTTTCTTAGTTACATAAAAAACAAGATTATGGATTTTTTTACAGCATTGTCGTGGAAATTTTGATAATTTAATTTATTGTTTTGGGAGAGGTTGTTGATCGCAGGGAGATTCGTTGGATGTAGTTGTAAATATGTGGGGTAACAAAGGAATTTAATAATTCCTTCATTAATAGAAGCAATAGTACAATAACTTGATAGAGAATTATTCAAATTGAACTTTCCTGGTTCTTGGTTAAAAAACACATTGCCCTTTCGACAAGGTGATCTCCTTATATAGCAAGCAATATGCGTAAACAAAGTATGTGATTTACAATATCAGGTTGACTTGCCGAAGGAGTAATCGGTCTAACAAAGAATTGTTGACCTGGTTTACAAACAAATCTATTTACTAACTGACAAACCGCAAAGGACATCAGTTAAGGAAAAGTTGTTAACCTCATAGATTCGAAGATAATTTAATTAGTGCGACACAGTGATGTCAGTAAATAAGGAGCTGATACCTTGTAAACAATGTGTAAAAGATTTACAGACTAAACGTAAGTTTGGAAACAGAGAGTCCAAAGAATAAATATTGTTGCAAATAATTTCCTTACTCCTTACTCATATTCGCAACTCTCATCATATAATATTTTAAAGTTTCGCTGTATTAAAATACGCAACAAACATGATTGTTTAGCTTTTCATGCTAGATCATTAAAAAAAAAAATTGATTTACTTTATTTTGCTGTTTTATACAATTCTTTAATCTCCTAATAGCATAATTGAGTGGATTGTGCTCATAGAATTGCTCATTGTTCAATATTTTGCGATACTTGATACCATGATTTCAGAGGAACATTTCTCACTTATTAAAATTTTAAATAATTGCAGGCATTTGATATTGACATTCCTCAAAATGTCGTAGCTCCTGACATAATAGACGTAGCAGCCAGTGCTTCGATTGAAACTGAAACGGATGTTATGGTGGTATATTATTTCCTATTTTTATTTGATTGATTATATCTTCTATAAATTTTGAATTTCTCAGACTACTTTTGACAACAGTAACGACTGAAGAAGTTGCTTGTTACACTTATTTTTAAAGGAAAAACCAGCGGAACCTCAAGAACAAATTACACTTGCCAAAGAAGATACCGCGAAAACAAATGCCACAACCAAAGTTGAATCGCTAAAAATGGAGGCAACAAGTGTTTCCGAAACACATACCCCATCTTTCTCAAATACACCGAAATCAACTACATTACAGGAAGATGAGCAACAAGTCCAACTACGCCGACAAATTGTTTCTCTTGGAAAGCAACCAAAAGCTCAGCAAATACGTAGGAAAAAGGATATGGTTAGTGGATTAAAATTTTCAAATCTCTCCACTTAAAAGCGAATAAAAATGATATTCCCACCTAAACCGAATAAAAAAAGTGATCCTCTTAGATTGTAACAGTAATTTTCTATGCATACTGTATTGAGTTAGTGATTTCATTTGCTAAAAGAATTAAGTTATACGATAAGCTTTATTTTATTTCCCTTTTGTAGATCCATGTGGCAACTGAGGATTACAATTTATTTTTTTAAGCCTTATTGGAGCTTGACTAAATGGTATGATGAATGATAGTGATGAACACAAAGTTCCTTTAATCCACATTTTATTTAAGCCTGCTTTACTACAGGTTGAATCGTTGTTCGACTCTCTGACTGGTTATTTTGATCCAAGTGAAGGTCGACGGCGCAGACAGCGAACAAAAACATACGAGGAAGAACAGAACGAGAAAGTATGTTTCATTTTAAAATGAATAATTTCAAAGTTAATTTAAAACTTTTGTTTATTTTTTAGTTTTTGCAACTAAATTATATATAATTAAATTATTCGTGGAATTGCTGAAAAAAGAATTATTAAGTAATTTTCTTTAAAATGGTAGCATCAACAAATTTTGATATCTTAACAGTTAATTTTGCTTTTTTTAAATTTCTTATTTTTGCAGGTGCAAATGGAACTTTTTGCACAAATGGAGAAAGTAGATACTAATGAAAAAGAAGAAAGTAATCCTTATAAGTTTATAAACTGCTTTTCTAATCTATCGCAATTTCGGTAAAACTTATTACCTTTGTTTTCCAGAAGGACCTACAAAAATTGAACACCGTCCGGATCATGCAGGAACATCCAAGGAAGGATCGACGGAAAATGATGACAAACCTAAATTTTTTGAAGGACATAAAAGAGGTCGTAAAAGAGTTCGAGAAAAAACCGTAGAGCAACCGGAAAGACCACCGACACCAACGGAAGGTTTAAATTGATGAAGTATTTTGCTCATTTGTTATTCATCTGAACTGAAACATTCTTTTCCTTGTGTATTTAACTAACTGCTGAAATTTGTTTTTCAAGTTTTCTTATGCTATTTCGAATTACAGTGATTCAACAACGGGAATTGGAGTGGCGCGAACGCCAACGTAAACGGCGTGAGAAGCACAAACGTCGGCAAAATGAATCGGAATCTGAATGTTGGAATAATGAAGGTTTATTTGTGTATTATTTTTGATTTTTTTTTTTTTTTTTGTGCTTTTTTTTTTACGTAGCATAGCTTTTTTGCCTGAAAGTTAGAAGTAATAAAAAGACGCAGGTAAATAATGCAGTTAAAAAAATAAAAAAATTGCCATAAACTAAAATACGATGTATCTTTGAATACGTAGTCCACCTAAACAAGCGTCATTAAATATAATTATATAAATATCTATAAGGCAAGCTCATTCAGACATAATTCCAGTTATGGCAGAGAAAGAATCGTATATAAAATTCACGACTATTATTGATCAAATTTTTGAATGTATCGACGAACAAGATTTCGTTCCAAATACAAACGGTTAGTGTGACTTATTTTTCTAAAGTCGTCTAATCATGATCTAAAATTTGAATAGTGGTTGAGACGAATTTGTTTGCTGTCGAATTGAAGTCTGAACTTTAAACCGATTCCTTTATTTTGATTAGTTATATCTGATTTCGAATGTATATTCCACAGTTATCACATGTTACTTGCCTTATTCATTTCTTCACCCGCTTATCAATCTCTGGAACTGACATTGAAGCTTCCCTAGTGATCTCCAGCTTAATATGAAGTGTGTTGCTACGAATTTTAGCAGATGATGATACCGGAATACCACAAGATTTTTTGGACAAAGATCAGCTCGAAGAATTGCGGCAAGAAGCGCAGAAATTGAAATCGTGGAAAAAAATCAATAAAGTACGTTCTTCTAGCGATGTGAGAAAACGATTTTGTGAAATAATATTTGAATTTTTTGTGGTTTAATTATTTATTACTTTATTCTTTTCTATCAAAGGAGATTTATGTGAAAATATAATCTAGGTCAATCCGGAACGTCTGGTAAAGCTTTTGACAATTCTGGAAAAGAATATACGTGACATAATTGGTGCAGAAGGGGAGCAGTCACTCATTACTCTTTTTAATGAGGTGATTTTTTGTTTTTCGCTTCTTTATTTCAGTTATGAATTTTTACATAAACAAAAATTCGTTGAAAATATAGTTTTATTCATTTTACCGCCACATTTTTGGGTTTTCTTGCTTATTGGTGGGTAGTTTTAGCAAGATGGAGAATAGCGGAATGACAAGTGAATTGACCAAGTGTTTAGACAGTGTACTCCCAAATATTTCAAGAAATCTGTACACTATTACATAAATAGCATGCTTAGCTCGGCTTAATCCATTGTTTATTTCTTTTTTAGGAAGATGAGGATGATTCAAGTGAAGCATATCGTGAAGCAATTGGTGATCGGATAATGCGTGCAGCTGATGCATCATGTACAGCAATGCTTATAATGACATCTACGAAAATGCCCAAACAAGTAAAAATGTTTACAGATATTTTTTTTCGTTTCAGCAATTAATAATTCATTATTTCATGATTTTGTTCTTCACATGGTTAAATTGTTTTCTTTCTCCTGCGGTTGCATGCAGAGGTGTATTTTTATAGCATGACATATAATTGGATGTTCGCCATCATAGTTTTTTTTTTTTTTTTTTTTTGGACAGATATTTTGTGAATAGTTTAACAAATTTTTATAGCTTTGCTTTTAATCCTTCCAGGTATTTATCGAAGACCCAATTGATCGTTCTATACAACTTTGTAAGCAGTTTCTTAATAATATTGTGTATCCGACATCCGATAGCTCATGTCGTACTTCTAATAAAGGACGAAGAAATGGTAATTATAAATTAGAAATATAGAAATTCGGAGTTAAGTTTTGAGTTATAATATTCCTTGATTTATTTTTTACTGCTTTGTTTTCAGAAGATAGGAAACGAAAGAGATCTATGAGTATTGCTCGATCTCGTGTCATCAAAAACATTTACACTCGTGTTACTGAACTTGTCGGATGCTTTGCTGAGCTTGTAAGGCACTTTTTTTTTTTCATTAAAATTGAAAGAATAAAAGTTATTTTATCTGCTTTAAGATATATGCTTTAGTCCTAAAAGGTTCAAATTCATTTGAGACAGAACAAGAAGGTTCTGAATGGAAATCTTGTTTTAGAAACTAGAAATATTCCAGTGGAGCAGATGATTTCCTGTTATTGATTTTGAAAATTTATTTAATTCTTTCCAGTATAAAGCTGTTAAATTAAGGTTCAGATTTTTTTCAATTTGTGAAATAGATCTGAAATAATTTTTTGCTCCTTTTTTGAAGTGAGGATTTTTTTAAAATAATATTACATCCTTTCATTCGTTTGTATTTATCCTTAAAACCGTTTTTATAAACTTCTTTTAAGTAGATTTCATTAAAATAGTCACCTTTTTTCTTTAAAATTTCAGGTTCGTATGCAATCTTTAACAGATACGGCCATTTTGCAGCTGTGCACTCTGGCATCCGGACCATTCTTTGTAGATAATGTTGGGGAATTACAGATGCAATCAATTAAACTTCTTTCAGCTATTTTTTCACGCTATGAGAATTTTCGGAAAAGTATTATTCAAGTTGGTGACAATTACAATTATTTTTCCAGTGTGTGTTTACTTTTCCAGTTTGTGAGCCAAGAGAAAATCTTTGATCTTCAAAAATTTCAAGGATTTGCTCAGTTCTGTTCATCGTCTACCTCCGACAAAAACTTCCAAAAATAGTTATCGTATGACTGCTGATGAATGGATCAGTAACATGACTGTTCTCATTATGCAACTTGTGCAAAGTGTTGTGAAGGTAAACAGTAAACTGTTTTTAATTACTTTTTTATATTGTTTGTTATAAAAAGAAATTGTTTTTATTATCTCCGTCTTAGTCATGTTAAAGGAGTAAGTGGACATTTGGTCTATTTTTTTACTTATTATGAGAGAGCACAATGCATTTGTTGTTACTAAAGGTTTTGGTTAAATACAAGAAGTCAAGAAAATATGGTTATCTAAAAATTGAATTCAACATTTAAGGTTCCACGTCGGCGGCGCTCCGATGAATCTTTTGATGTTGGTGAAGAAACAACAGTCGATGATACTATAGTAAAAGATTCTGTGGTTGAATGCCAAAAAATTGCATCTTTGTTTCTCAGTGGATTCCTAGCTAAGTAAGTTTATTTTTTTTTTTTTTTTTTTGTTTAACCGATAGTTTTTGACTGACAAATTTCTCGAAACTTCAATTTTTGAATCCGCAAGGGAGATTTCATGAATTAATGTTGCATTAATTTCTCTTTTTTGGGTAAATGAATTTTGAACTTAATACATAGATTTTTTGTAGTTTATTATACCTCATTGTTGTTTCGGATTCAGGTGTACAGCCAAATCCGAGGAAGATTATCGACGCCTTTTTGACCAGTTTGTTCATGATTTGCTCACTGCTTTGTACAAACCTGAATGGCCTGCTGCTGAAATGCTTTTGACATTATTGGGCAATGTCCTGGTTACTTTTTATCGTTCGAAAAATGTTGACATGTCACTGAGAATTGCCAGGTATCTTTAAAATTAGCTTAAATTTATAACAAATTCATAAATACTTTATAATCATATAAACCGCAGAGGTATGACACAAAATACGGGTATTTAAAATTCCTTGGTAAGAGTAAAATTTTCGGTGCATTGTAAATGTGCATGCATGCTTCTGTTTTATATTTTCAAATTCTTTTTGTTTATTTTCATTCTACTTTATAGTTTGGATTATTTGGGTACAGTAACTGCTTCATTACGTAAAGATATGCAGCAAACTATATCGGATGATATCCGGCTCGATGTAGTCGTTAAAACACTGTTATACGAAGAGCTTGAGGAAGAGGAACAGACGGGCGATATAGATACTATCGATATCAGTCATGTTAGCTTTTCTTATTACAGCCACCGGTGCAAGTTATTTCTACCAGTCTTACCGGAACTATTTAGTTCAGTGCGTTCCCATACCAGTGTTTAGTCGATTTCTTCAATTTTGATTTTTTACTTTCATCTGACCATCAGATGCATTTTTCTTGACTTATTGAAACTTTTGAAGTATGTATCATCCTACCCATGCATTTACTAACTATTGTCACTCCCATGTAGGATATCGAGATGGACTTCCGTATTTCTCTCTATTTTATGTTTATTTTATGTTATGAAATTTGAAGAATTCACTTGTAACATTTCATTTTTCAAACTCTTTTGTTATTCTTAATATTGTATTTGAGTTCCAGTTATTTGCAAATTGTAGTTGACTTCAATAAAAGTAATTTTAAATTTTTACCAAATTTTTTTGAAAAAATTTCATTTTAAATGTTCTGTTTTTCAGATGTCATCAGCAGATAAGATGAAGAAAGTTCAACGAGCCTTAATTGATTATCTTGTTGAAAGAAGAGGTGACGCTGATGTTTCCATCGAGGTATTTGGTTTTTTTCTTTTTTTTTTTTTTTGGCATATTCCGTGTTTTTCCAAGTAGTTCTTGCCTGATAGTTTATGCTGTTTTATAATGCAAAAGTTTTTCAGTATTTTGACATTTCTTCTTGTTTTTGTGATTAATGTTTACTGTCAAATTTCTAAATGCGCCAGAAATTTTGATTTGAAATTTCTAGTACGCAGTAATGTTTTATGTGGGTATTTGGTATAAGGAACTCTATGAAGAAGCAGAGTCAGCAAAGCAGAAGCTAAAACAGATCATGAATAGTTGCGAAATTAGTGACAAAGAGAAGCGAAAATTTGAAAAGAAATCTGCCAGGGTTAGCATATCTTGGATTTCGAGTCATTTTAATAATTTATATTTGTTATCGATGTTTTATTTAGTTTTTAACTTTATCATCTAAATATATTGACGCATTTGTTAGATTTATTTTATACTGTTCATATTTACAGTCGGATAAGGGCATAAATCATGATTAAGACTTCTGATAGACAACACACTATTATCACTGCACAACTGACTATTAAGTAGAAAATAATCTTAATGAATTGAATCGGATTTTAATATTTTTTTAAAGGGGAAATATAAGGAATTTTTTCATACTATTTGTAAACGAATTCAGGTCTTGGAACGATGTCAACTAATGAAGATATTTCTCATCAAAACTGCTGACAAAAAGCATATCAGAAAACGTGCTGAACAAATCGCGTATGTTTCGAATTTTTTCAATCATGCAATGATTATATATTGATTTGAATTGATCTCATAATTTCAAAAGCAAAGCATGAAATTACAACTAGCAAAAATATTCTTGGTCATAATTTATTGAAATTTTCTTTTATTCTGATTCTTTCAAATTTCGCACAATTCTTTTTAAGTAGATTCTATTTCTAATTTTTTTTTTTCTTTTTGCTTACTTTTGATAGGCAAACTTTGTTCTGTGTCATTATCTAATTTTACTAAAAGGAGTTGATGGGAAGGGAAGAATTTTTTCAATTAGCTGCTTTTAGCACTCATATGTACTTCCAAATCATATGTTTAATTTTCTGTCGTTTTTGCATGCGTCTAAAAAAATATGCGTAACAATTATTTTTTCAGACGAACTGGCAGCATTCTGATGGATAGTGACGCATCATGGCTTGTAAGATTCTTGGCTTCAAGTCGAGAATTTAGCCAGTCATTTTCGACATACCTTAATCATGTTAGTATATTTTGAAGAAACTTATGCTTATTAACAAGACTGCTAAAGTTCTTATAATGACTTGAAAGTTTCAGATTTTATATGGCATACATGCGGAACAGGCAGTAGGTTTAAGGACCAAGGCAATGCGGTGCTTAACTTTGGTCATTGAAGCAGACCATGCAGTTTTAAAAATTGTAGGTTTTTTTTATTGTATAAAATACCGAAACTTTCCTGACGGAAAACGGAAGTTTCTATTTGCAAAGCTTTGCAGTTTTGGTCGTTCCACATAAATTTCAAAGATCGTGATTTAGTCTAAGCATGTCATTTGAAAAAAACAATTCATATACCTTTCCAGCCTGAGGTACGAAAAGCAGTCCAGGCAAGGATGATGGATCCAAATGCAGCAGTTCGTGAAGCGACAATCGAACTTATTGGGAAGTACTTGATTGCAAAACCTGAATATGTCCCGCAATATTACCCATTATTAATTGAACGCATAAAGGTTACTAGTTCAAGCGATGTTTCAAATTTAAATGAAACTCAATATCCATTATCTATCATCTGTTTGTTTGCAGAATTAATTTATAGTTCAAAAACTCTTCTTGTTTGTGTTCATTTTAGCTAAACTTAATCTTTTTTTTTTTTGAGTTCTTTGACTCTCATTTTCAATTTAGGATTCTGGTGTGGCAGTTCGAAAGCGTATAATACGTATACTGCGTGAAATTTGCGAGAAACAGCCCGATTATGAAAAGGTGCCAGAAATGTTAGCTCGAATAGTGCGTCGTATCTCAGATGAAGAAGGAGTAAAGAAGCTAACCATTGATACAATGCAGACTTTATTGTTTCAACCTACTCGTGAACGTGATTCTATTCAACTAGTCAATAAGTTATGAGCTTATCTTCTGTCTGTTATGAAATATTTCAAATAGTTACTTTAGGACGAAAGCAAATAAAAGCATGACAAAAGGTAATTTGTCTTTTTTTTTTCCTTGTTTGGATGACTTTTCATTGTTTTTAGGTGATGACTTTAACTGATATGGTCCAAATATGTGTCAAGGAAAATACATTGGACTTTTTTGAACAACTACTAAACAGTTTACTTAAAACCAATGATCGAACATTGCTATTTGCTTCACGACAAATTGTGGATACATTGGTAGACAATGTACTTACGTTAGATTCAAAAATGGCTTCAGGTGATTCAGTTTTTTGGTTGTACAGCTTTATTTTGAAAAAAAAAATTATGTTAGCTTATGTTTTAATTGCGTTGTGTTTATGCATTTCTTTTTAATTTTCTCAATTAGTAATCTTCAAAAGGCGTGAATTGCTTTTATTTTCATATGATTTGAGGTGGTGGTGAAGTAATAAATAGTTCCGAAGAAAGCACTTCTATGAATGCAGCGGCAGCTCATAAGGAACATCAAGAACGAATGCTGGCATGTCTGTCTACTTTATCACTGTTCAGCAAAGCGAAACCAGATTTGATGGTCAAACATGCCGAAACATTGCAGCCGTATCTATCAATGAATATGAATGGACCATCAGAGCAACAAGTTATGAATCAGGTTTACAGATTTCATGAAATAACTATTTAAAGCGACTTGAAAATTCTGAAACTCAATAAGAAATCCTCTGAAACTCCGAATAATTTTTAGTTAGATTCGAATATTTTCAAAAATGTCCCTATTCTGTTTACAGTTTGCATATATATATTGAAGGTAATCAATATGCTGGAAAGAGTGGTTCCACTGATGGATCATCCATCAGAATCATTTCTCAAAACACTTGATGAAAGCTTATATCAGCTGGTCAAAGATGGTGGTATGCGTATCATTGCTTCGTCATTAGCATGTAATGCAGCTATATACAATAAGTGGAAAAAACGAACTCCTGCGATTATTGAGACATTTTTCAAGTATTTGAGTAAGTTTTGTGCTTTTCACAAAATTGTCATAAAGGTCTTTTTCAATCTAAAATAAAGAAAATGTTCTCAGTGATATTTTATGTTGCTGTCTAAAGTCATTATATAGATTTTTTGCTAATAAAATGATTTGGGGTTGATGTGCATATTTGTATTGTTTGTAGAATACCTGCATCAAATAAAGGAGGATGTATTGCGCAAACAAACTTCTGGCATCCTACCAGTAAGGAAACCAATGGTGCTAAGGTATAATACATGATAATAATTTTGTCATTTTATAACCTTACTAATTTATCTGTAAATATCTTCTCTTTCGTATAGTGTTTATTTATTTATAAGCTAATTTCTTTTCTCTATTTAATGCTTAATTTTGAATTTATTATTTTTTCCAGGTCATTGTTTTCAGTCGGGCTGATGTCACGCTATTTCGATTTGGATGCAATATTGGAAAATGATGATGAAGCAAAGAAATTTCTAGATGCGAATGCTTCCATACTATCGCCGTCCTCTCCATTAACAGAAGTAAATGAGGAGCATGATGAGGAAGAGAAACAATCTGCAAAATCGAGTCCTTTTGTTGAAATGATTTTCCAAGTTTTGACAACGTTCTGTAAATATCGTGATGGTGATATTCGACTAAAGGCTTTGAATGCTATTGGTTAGTGCAATATTTAAATAAGAAAAGCAAAGAGCTTGTACAATTTATGTTTGATTAATATGAAAAATATTAATCAAATATGAAAAATCTTTTGTAAACTTCTTTCTTTTATTTATATTTATAGGAAATTTCACCGCAACTAATTCGGAATATTTGACACGAACGGAGCTACGAAATATGTATATGACATTATTGGGAACTGAGGATAAAGAATATTTGGGTTTGAAAATACAAACTTTGAAGAATTTGGAAATATTTTTGAGTGCTGAAGAAACAAAAATGGTCAAGAATAATAGTGAATGTAAATTTTTTTATGAAAATTGAAAAGAAAATTTAGACAAAAATTGTATTTGAAATTCGTCCTGGATTGATAACGACTAAGTGACATGACAACACATATGCTATGAAATACTTATGCTTACGGACATTTGTTGAGGTTAAAATCTGGTGTTTTAAAACTTCGGGTTATGTGAAAATTTGAACTATATTGGTAGCTGACATCCCAAATCTAGAAAGTATTTATAAATATTAGTTTAGTTTTGCATATCCAAGTATTTTCCGTTTTCATCATAATATACAATCGTAGGGCATATGTCAAAAGAAGAACATGATTTGAAAGAAATGGAACTGGCAAATTCCGGATTAGCTTCAGCGATCATACAGCTTTACTGGAATGCAGTACTGAACTCATATTACAATCCAGGTGATGCTGTACGAACTGCTGCCGTGCAGGTGATCATGAATATACATTTATCTGGTGCTTTCTGAGGCGCTAGTCTTGAGATTAATTTTTGGATTTTAAAATAGTTCATCAGTATTAGAAATTGAAATACCGAGGATTCAAAATTTTTACCCTTTTATTTGAAAAATTCTATGTCTATATTTATTTGAAAAAATTCCATTGTTTTTATAAATTTTATCTTATTTGTATATTTTTTTATAAATTTTATTTATTTTTTTATTTGAAAAAAAAAAAAAAAAACTCTATGTTTTATAATTATTAAGTGATGGAATTGATATCTCTGTAGTAAAAATTTTTTTAGGTTGCAATTCTAACCCTAAGTCAGGGGTTGGTGACGCCAGGTTCATCGATTCCAACGTTAATCGCTATGTCCACTGATCGAAACACTCTTATTCGGAACAAAGTGGAAAATATTTTGAGGGATATCGACTCGAAATATGCTGGCATGGTTCCGGTTCGTGCTCTCATTATTATTTTTTCATTCCTAAACTTTTATTAGCTAATGATTCAGCAGGGATCAATAATATCTTCCTTGAAGTAAGCTTCGATAAAAAATCCTTATGATAGTTATTGTGCCCCTTCGTTTGATGAATGATTGCACTGAAAATTCTAACTAATATGGTTTCATTCTGAAATTTGAAAAATTTGAAATCAAATTTGAAAAAGTTTCAGAGTAAAGCAGTAGCAGGTATACGATGCTCATTTCGTTTGCATATGATCATAAAGAAGGATCCGGAATGTGTCCTTCGTGGTATTCGAGTCTGCGACCAAGCAGTAATTGCTGCAGGTAGTTTTTATTTGAAGGACCTTTGGTTCTTTTCTTCACCAACAACGTGTTTTCTCTTTCCTATTCCAGAAAAAAATATGTTATTTTTCTGACTTTCTCATTTTCAGGTTCTATTGACAACCTTAAATTAGTAAACGGAGTACCGAAAATGACCAACGACGGACAAGCATTGCTCAGTGGGCTCTATCAAAATCTTCGTGGTAATCGACAACAGCGAAGAAGCTTTTTATCTTCTATTCTTCGATTATTTTCCGAGGATTCCCGAGAGGTTTTCATCAAAGTCTTTTTTTTTTAATTTAGTTGTGCTAAATGTCTTTTTTTCGTTTTTTTTTTACCTTTTTGATACATTACAGAAATTGACATTGGAGGAGTGGTTATTCGTTGCTGATAATCTGGCAATGTTTCCATATCAGGTAATAGATGAGCCATTATATGTAATCCGTCGAATAGAATCCATCGTTTCCATTAGTGGACAAAATATAATCAATAATTTTATGGGGCAACTTCTTCCGCGACCAAGCAGTGTAGAAAATGATGATGAAGCTGAATATACACCAGAACTTATCTACAGTTAGTTTCAAGCCGTTCTATTTATGTTTTCACTGTTATCAATACTTATTATTTGTATTAATATTATTGTTATGATATTACTATATGATAATACTATTATTGTTGTTACTGTTGTTATCGTCACTTTTATGCCATTAGTCAAAGTTTTTATTTTATAGCTATTTACCTACTTTTTAAACTTTTTGGAATGAGAGGGATCAAGAGATCAGCATGGATCACGTCTTGTGATTCTTTGTAAGCAGTTTAACGTAAAATTATCAAGTTCCGACTATTTTTATGTCGAACGTAACTGAATCATATCTGCGCAATGCAGAATAGTGGTTTGACTGCCTTTAGAAAAGTGTTGTTACTGAAATTATTACTGAAAATAAGCAAAAAGTTACCGAAAACAAAAAACAAAAGAAAAAAAAAAAAACAAAGTAGTAATGGTAATTAAGGAAATGTTGAGGATATTGGATTGGAAGTCAGAATTTGGTGGTTCAATGTAATTATCTCTCATTTTTTGTTTGTTTTTTTCGTCTGTAAAAATTATGATTATAACTTTAACTTCATATACATTCTTCATTATTACAGGACGATTTCCAGAAGATAAGAGCATGCTTCACGAATGTATGAAAAATAGTCAAGCATGCTTTATATTACTCTATCTGAAAAATTTTTTGATGAAACTTTATGGGTTCAGTGATGCGTAAGTAACTTCTATCATCGAATTTCTTTGCATATTCTCTTCTTTCTATAGAGTTAGTAGTAATTGCCAATGTACAATTTCTTGTTTGATTGCCTTGTTTTTTTTTTTTTTTTTTTTTGTCGCTTTTAAATTTTACTTCAACTTATTTTGCTATATGAACTATCCTCTGATAATTTGGCTGATAATTAAAATGATGTACTGTTTTTATTTTTCTTTCTTATACAATTTCTTCAAATTTTCTTGCTTTTTCAGAAAAGTACAAGAGTATAGTCCATCAGAAGCAGCCAAAGTTTATGAAAAAGCTGTTAGTAGTCGGCGTAATATGTTGATGTTCAATCCGCATTCAGCGCTTCAAGAACTTCGTCCAGAAACAGCTCAGAAGCGTGATACGGTTAATGGTCATATCGAAATGGCTAATCAGATTGTAGCTGTAAGTTCTTTTATAGCGATTTTTTTTTTACTTAAAATCGCAGAAATTTGAAAATTTTTCTTTTAAAAAGGAAAAAATTAACGTTTTTTAGTTCCGTAACATGTTGCTTTCTTTGGATCGTGATAATGGTGATGAGCATAATGGAACAGATAGTACAGGATTCATGGAAACAGTTCTATCAAAAGACACTAATAATACTATAACGGAAGATGAGGATCAGGATATGCATATGACTGAGAGTATTTCCGATACTACCAATCTTAATGAAGTTGATGCTAGGTCTGCGTAAAGAAGTTCTTCAATTATGTATTCATTCAATCTCTTCGAGTGGCAAGAAGTTTGCGAATTTATTATTATTTGCCTAAATCGAATTTATTATTATTTGCCATTATCGAATTTATTATTATTTGCCATTATTATTTGCCTAAATCATGTTTATTATTTGATAGTTTTTTTTTTTTTTTTCTTTAAAATTATTCTCAGGAAGTATAGTGTACTTATCCACAAATTTTTTTTTATTTTTCGAAAATTCTTCTAAAGCGATCTGCTGACTTTATTTTTTTTTTAAATTCCCCTATTGATTTTTGTTATTATTTGCCTGTTGTCTACATGAAATTGTGATTCATAATTCTTGAAGTTCATCTTTTCCCTAGTTTTATTGAGAAGTTAGTGTGGTCATTGGAATTATCTAAGGCATCGTATATGAGATGCAATTCTATATTTAAGGCTTTCAAAGTCTTTAATTGAATTAATTTAATAGATTTATTCTGATGGTATAAGGTTATAGGGAATAAAAATTTTTTAAAATTAGATATTGAGAACTGTACGCGCTTCATCTTAGCAGAAAAAAAAAGATAAAAGTAGCTTTTAAAATGTATTTAATTACGGACAGACCAAGACTGATTCCCTGGGATTTGTAAATTATTTGAGTATCGTTTCTTTTTTTTTTTCGAATCGGGCATCTTAAAGTAACATAAGAATTCAAGTATCGCAATTATGCACGTACCACTCCACTAGGCAAAGTGTTTCTCCATATAAAGCATAAATCTGAAATGGCAAGAAAATAAAAACTGCAGAATAGAGAATAGTGCATTTATCAATTAAAAACCGAAGTAGTGCGGAACTGTAATTTATTGATCAAAATATATCGATGGCTGCTGCATTTACATGATTTTTGACAATTAACATGTTGCTCTGATATTGCGACCATAATCAAAATGTATAAACTATGTACCTGTTTGCATCCACCATAATATTGGGATTTCCGTATTACAATTTTTTAGATTCCGTTAAATTCAATGCATTTTAGATACTCATTTATGTTTAGTTCAAAAGATTTCTTAACTCCGTCTTTCTTTGTTTTATTTTTTGATGCCCGGTTGCTATTATCATTACTAAAAATTTTTCTTCAACTCCCTCATTCTTTCGTGTAATTCTTTCCTAATGTCCCACTTTTTAAATTCTAAAAAGATTTCACATATCCTCACCTGGCATAACAAACGAATCAATGCGCCTCATGCACTTTGATGCACATATTATTGTTTCATGAATCGGGCATTCCCATTGTTTTAAATCATGCTGTGCTTAAACTGTTATTATTATTATTGTTACTGTAGAGCTGCTCTCCCTCATAACAAATTTTTAGAAACATTTTGTCTTTTATTTATGTTCTAAAATTCCTTCTCTGTGTAAAGTGACAATCATTATGAGTGATAAAATTTGATATAATTATGGAATTATTGCTAGTTTCTTATTTTTGCATGGGTATCACTAACCAAATGATAATGGTCTGGAAAAATCGAGAACATGGAATTAATGTTCAAGTACAAGATTACTCGAATACCAGGTATATTCATGACAAATAATTGTGGAAAAATATAAAATCAACAAAAAAGAAGAACCAACTCACAACACCCACTATGTTATGTGATAAAACAAGCTTAATATGACCAAAGGTACAGTATTAAGTAATCAAGTATTGGGTTTCAATCGTACAGAAATTACCCATATTATTATTATAACACCTAGAAGTGGAATTAGTTGATGTGAGGTGTGTGACAGGTCCCTTCATTCTCTAAGTATTCAATATGAACGGTTGATCGAGGAAGAATTTCTCATGGTTCTTCCTTCCCACTGATTACTGCATGTAACATATTATGCCTTATCAATTTTAAACTTTAAAAGAAATTTGTGTTTTGAATTTGTGCAGATATTTCATAAATTTGACAGGGATAAGGATTTTTGAGCAATTTGATGGAAAATTGTAATTGAGCAAAAGTTTGGAGAAAAAATGTTGAAAACTAATGAGATTAACGAAAATGGGTGGGAAATCCAATGTACTCATATGCGAGTGCGATTGGGTTAAATTCCTAAACCCAATTCAAGAATCTTTTCTTCAAAATAATCTTTCTAATATGTTGATAAAAACAAACGCTCTTTCTAGAAATATTAAAATTTAAATCGACATTTCGTTACTTTTTGTCATTCATTTCACTTTAATAAATGAATTTACTACCTTTTACCTGCAAATTATCTTTCGTTTGAAACTGGTACTGATTTCAGCCGGTTAACTTTTGCCATAAGTTTTCAGGGATCTTTTCCATCAGTACTTATCTAATCTACTCCAAACTTCACTCTCCATATAAGAGCTGGCAAACCAAACTGCTAACAGCTCGATATCTATGTCCGAATCAGTTTGGTTATCAATTAACTGATCCAATCATATTGAATCCAGCTATTTAAAGTTCATGGTTTTAAAATGCATTTAATTTATTATAGAACAACTTTGAACAGAAATGAAAAATCTGAAATAATAAATCATAGTTGCAGCGTGAGAGGAGGTATGGAAAACACGTCGTTTTTGTTCTGATTATATTATTAACTAAATTATTCAGAAAGTAACCCAGAAAAGTTATAAGGTACAGTCCGAACGCTTTTAAATTTTAAAAGTATGCAGTGATACCATTGGAAGATTTATGATTCCAATTAGGCATCAGTATCTTGGAATGCAGAAAATAATGATAAAATGAGAAAAGCAGTAGAGAGCAAAGGTCGCCAAAACAAAACATGGGTCATGAAAAATGGATGGAATAAATTAATGAATTGAAGTTTCTGCATTAAAAAATGCATAAATGAGCAAATGTAATTAATATTAGAACGATTGAAATAGAGGATAAAGAAATAGTCATAAGTGAGCTATAAGTGGCTATATTTTAAATGAAGAAAGTAGGACGAAAAAGGAGATAGCAGAAGATGAAAGAGTCAGGTAAATTTCGCTAGGTAATTTAGGAAAACCTTTTAATTTCTAAAGCATGAATTAACTTGTTGATGACCAAGAAAAGTTTTAACTTGCAAGTTCCCAGCGTTTAATTTAAATACAATAAGGTTTTTTTGTCTGGTCTAATTAATCATAACAAGAGTATGAGCTACCCGTGCATACTTCAAGCCTAATGCATGCATGGCAGTAATCCTTAACAAAGGTGTCGTATCATTGCTGATAACCAAATGCTTGATGAGTGGCGCTGCTGTCCAACTTGTGTCTATTTGAACCTCGTTCTCGTGATATATCAGATAACTCACTTGCTGCTACTTCATACTGCTTCTCATCTTGTAATGATTTTCTGTCGTCTCCTACCTTCTCGCTTGACACGGAAAGCAAATCCGGTTCTTCTAAGCCTTGATATCCCGAAATTTCTTTTACTCTTGACTCTTGTTGAACATTCCCATCAATTATTTCCTGCTTGCTCTTCGTCTTTTCTGTATCTGGTTGTCGACGAGACATATCGGCTATAACTACCTCCGTATCCTGACATACACATGTTCCAGGAGTTCCTAAACTTTCACATTACATGATATTTCTAGAGTTCTTTTCGTAATATTTTGTAATGCTTTCTCTCTTGACATTTCATTTTAGTTTCAAAACACCAGTATTTAGAGTAAAGTTAAAGTCAATCGATATCGGCTTTTTGTATGGAACAAACCTGTTGGTCCTTGCTCTCCCCTAGGTCCTGGTGCACCAGGTGGTCCGATTGCACCGGGTGGTCCTGGTGGTCCTGGCCAACCCTTTTCACCTGGAGGTCCAGTATAGCCATCTTCACCATTTGATCCTGCAAAATCGTTAAGCCTTTCATAACTTTTCGTCATTTCAAAACAAAGAAAAAATAATATTAATTCGATGCATTCTTCTTAATGACAAATTCCTATTCAAAATAAACAAACCTGGATGACCGGGTGGTCCCCATGGTCCCGGATCACCTGGATCACCTGGAGGACCAGGAATAACATGTGCATGAGGAGTGAAACCTTTATCACCAGGTGGTCCAGCAGGACCTTCTGGCCCCGGGGGACCTGCTGGTCCATCTTCACCAGGCTTACCACGCAATCCATCAGCACCTCAAAAAGAAATTTAGAAAACAATTTTTATTCTCCAAACTACTCAAATTGTATAAAATAAATACTTATTTTCTAACACAAATTGTAAAATATAACTCTAAAATGCCACTAAAAAATAGCGAAGTTACCGGGTTTCCCAGGTATGCCAGGATCTCCCGGATCACCTGGGAATCCAGGATGCCCAGGTACACCACGTGGACCTTGCGGGCATGGAAGACAAGGTGGTGGTTCGAATATTCTTTCTGGAATACAAGATGCATTCGGTGTGGCACCAGGCCTGCCAGGTGCACCATCTGGACCAGGACTTCCAGGAAGTCCTGGTAGACCAGCATCACCTGGTGCTCCTCGCTCACCAGGTATACAGCATGCTAAAAAATGATGAGGTATAGTTTTCTCTTTAAAATAATTTTAATATTCATTTCCATTATCTTATCATAGTAATAATTTTTTATCAACAAATAATCTAAAAACTAAAACTATGGAGAATTGAAAAATTTTTGTTTGTGCTTGTGCATCACTTCCAATGCAATTATATGCATTTAAAATTGACATTAAACTAGCAAACTTTTTATACATTTCTAAAGAGATGAATAGAAATGACAGAACAGAGACAGACCAGGACATTCCTGGAAAGAGACGTGTTCCGTGAAAAGTGTTGTTGGGTTGAAACCGCTGTAATGAGATACATCTCGCCTTGTTCGATTTGGATTCACTCTTTGTATCGTTGATAGCTCTTCCTCCAAATCGTGTGTCGCACTCTGTAAATATTTACTCTTTCTTTAAATTTTAATTAAATTTCCTTAATATTTGATTTAATATTCAAGTTAAATAATTAATTGAATTCAAAATGTTATTTCCATTTTTTATAAGTACAAAAAAGAAATCTTATTTCTCAAATTTAGTAATTTCTACACTGAGATACAAATATTCTACATATTGCCAGAAAAATTAATGGAAAGAAGTGGTCAAACAGAATTCCTGAAGGTACTGCATGCCTCTACTTTCTTCTAGTCTATTTGATTTAATATCTTTCACTTCGTAGATGAAATCAAGAACTTCAGAATATTTCATTGAATTTTCTCATTTGACACACTACCAGTAACCCAAGAATTCCAACTGAATTCTTCCGAAGAAGATACTGGCAGAAATGTGACAAAAAATTGAATTAATGAAAACATTAAATCAATGGTGATTATATCAAGTCTTATTCACATTCATTCATTTTTTGACTGAAAATTTCTAATTTTCTGCTGTTCTTAGCCGAAAAGTTCACTTTCAATCATTACTGTTTCAATCATTACATTTCAGTAGCACAGTATGTACGAACTGCGTTGCTTTTTAGCTTCTATTTCTTTTGAAATCTGTTAATTATTAATCCTCTTAGACTGATAAGCTTTGGACAGTTTTGAGAAACAGAATGTGTTAATTATTTAATGGAATCAGTTTCAGATGTCTGTTGGGAATAAATGCTTTATATAAAAATTTTATAAGAAACAAATAGATGACTGATTTCAAAGTTGTATCAATCTAAACATACTTCGCAGAAGGCGAAATCCTGTCTGGTGAATGTTCCCATGTTGTCGACAAAATTATACGCGGATGGCGCTACAAGACAAAGGGTTAGCAAGCTGGAAATACTTAAGGTACTTGCAACAGAGATAATACATTTGAAGGCACGTTCACGACGAACTTCTACCACATTGCTATTCACCATGTCGCATTTGATGTCACTCGAAATACCAGACAGACGTTTCACATAGACAGTGTCACTTCTTGGCTTCATCTCCCTCTGCAGGGAGTTCGTAGTTCAACAGTCTTGCTCCTAGAAATTTCAATTAAAATTTTCTTACGATTTCAAAAATATATCAGTAATGTTTCACGTATAATTGAATACATTGATATTAGTTAGTTTTGTCTGCAATAAAATTCAATTCAAGCATTTGAAAAATCATTTAAAATGCTATGACTGACGAACTATTGAAAAATCGGAAAGTAAAAATTGACAATTAGTAATTATAAGATTTTACCAATACAATGAAATAATTGTTCGGTATTGTACATAAAATTTTATTTTTCTTACTAATAACACATGAAACAATTTTGATGATAATAGCCGATGAGAGAAAATTATGAACATGAAATTTTTTTTTTTAAAAAATAGAAGATTGTTGCACTGTTTTTTCTATCCAATTTTTCGATTTTGCAAGTATGAATGTAAAATGACTTTGTTAAGAAAACCTTATTTTACATTGCTCTTGATTCTGTTATAAAAATTAAAAAATTCAAAAAAGTTTGTAGCGATAATGGAGAAGTAATGTTCAAAGTGAAATTTGTTCCAGCCAACAAATTGCTCTCAGTAAAATAAGATACAACAATAGTTATTAATTTCTGTATCTCAGTTTTTAACAAGTTATGACCCATCCATACTAGCAATTGATGCTAGAGAATAAGGCAAAAAATGGTTTCTGTATTGAATTCATATTTTGAATTTTAAATTATTCAAAATGGCATTGCTCAAAAAGTATATTTTGTTAAGGAAAAATTCCGCGAATTAACGTAATAAGGAAGTATTGACTCCGCAAGTTTTATTTGTAATAAATATCTAACAATTATTGTCCCACAAGAAAAAAGGTATGCTTTTTTTGAAGAAAGATCCATTTCAAAAAAAGAAGAATGACTGTTCGGATTTGTTACAAATCATTACTGCGCCTGTCCACCGTTCATTATGTGATCGCCTATTTAGTGGGGAATTACACCATTTTCTATTTGGGTATTCTTTCTTTTCTGATTCTTTGCTAGAAATGCACTACATATCAAAAAATAGGAGAAACCTCCTATTTTTTGACATCCTAAGATTAATTTTGGTAATCATAAATTCTTAAATGATCTCTTGGTAGCTTTCTGTCACCCTGTAATGTGACATCTATCACCCTCTTTATTATTTCTATTCAACGAAAAGAGCGGTTGCGGGAACTGTTTTACTTGAAAATTTGAAATAGCAGTTGTGTATAACTGTCAGACTAAATATTGTCATCGTAGGCATAAATTTAAACTCTCAAAGAAACAGAATAATGTTGAAGTTTAAAACTCAATCAATAATTTCAGCAGACTCGCACAGTAATCCGTCAATACATGTGAACATAATGGTTGAATGAACTTTACCCATGAAATCCGACTTAAGTAGTTCTCATATGACAATTATATTGCAGATAGGTCATCCGGAAACATAACTGTATATTTCTGGAAGTGTCTGATGATTTTGTGTTAAAAGAAGCAGAAATCTGTTTATGTTCAGCTTCGATCTAATTAGTAGATAACACTTGGAAGTTAAGATTATCAACACCTAAATAACCTGAAGTTCTTCTAAAGTTAATTTTTTTAAGTTTGAACTTCAATATGCTGCTAATTTATTAGGGTCAAGTAAGCGATAAAAAGAGGACAAAAATAGAATATGACAGGTTCGAAATGAACAACTAAAATTGCGGATGCCCAGAGCAGTTAGGCGAGAGTAAGCGATGAAGAACGGCCTAAAAGCAAAATGGATGCATGGATGGATGGATAATCATTACGGTTTCCTTTGCTCTTGCGTCTTCTGTCCCGCACCAATTGCGCTGATGACCTATAAAGCAGTGGCAGTAATGTTTCGTCATCCAATTCGGGTGTTATCTTATCCAAACTGATAGTCAGCCCCCTTCCTAAACTAAATCAAAGGGCCGATGAACTGTGTTTGCACAAATAACGACCCCTAAAACAAAGTCATTTGTCCTATCACATGACAGCAAAAATCAAAAACTACTCCTCCAATCTCATTTTCCCTTCCTCACATTTATTTTGATTTATCAAGAAACATTGCATAAACACAAACAGAAACATTCATTAGCTATACCATAATGATTCATTAATCTAATGTCACCTAAAATACTCCAACAATATCTAATTTTGAATTAATACAATTATTCTCATTTGTTATTAATTAAATGATAGAATAGCTCCTTACTAACAGAAAAATTTTTGGTTTAATATTGTAAAAATGAGTAGTTCCATGTTTTGAGTAAAATGTTAGTATATCACTCAGTTATGCCTGGTAAAAATATTGATACTAGACATGCTACTTTATTGATCACTGGAAATGGTCTTAATATTTATTAATATTTATAAGTCCAATTGATATTATCAGTTTTGAGATGGAATCTTTTACAAGCAACATTTCAAAGAGCATAAATTTGCGTTCTTTGAAACAATTTTAGAACATGGCTAATGCAAATACATATTTTTAGCTCATTATGATTCGACTAATTAAATAATTTATTGAAAAAAAGAAAAGTAAAAGAGTTCAAACATTAACAAGTGAATGGACATGATGGAGTGAATTTCAATTTTAATTGATAATTTAATTAACAATTTTAACTGAAGTATCAAAATATGCTCCCCCTTCCACATGCGGGAACGCACAGAAGGAGAAAGGTAATAATAATGTGACAGTGATCAGCCCAGATGACCTTTACTTTAAATTAAACCATGCAATCACTGATAATGGCTGAGTCCGTTGTACGAATATAATATTGTCATCATTCACTTATCATCTCTCAATGTATGTGATAATGGGAAGAATAGATTTACATAGCATTAGAAGAGAAAATCGATTCAGAAGATAAGACTTAATTCTATGATGGATCAATGTCCCAATGACGAAATGAATTATCGTTTAATTATTTAATTGAAATCATTGTTTCTCTCAAATAATTTAATTAAACATTGCTACCGTTATAATTTTGAAGTACTTCAAAGACAGTTTCGAACAGCTCTATAAATATTTAATAGACTTTATAAAAATGGAAGGAAATAAGTGCAATTATAAAATAAACTTTATTAAATTAAAATTATTAAATTTTGCAAAACTGGTCTCTGTATAATTTCTCCATCATATTTCATCTAATAATGAAATACTAATTTAACAACTGCACTAGCAACTAATTTGATGAAAATACGATGTGATATTTTTGTAAACTATAAATGTGATATTTTGTTAGTTTATAATTTGCAGATTTTCCATCGAGTCTATTAAAAATTATAATTTATTTTATTGCAGTTTTTGATAAAATTCCGTAAATGTTGAATTATTTGTTTTGTTATTGGTATGTGTAACGATGACAAGTTCCATGCACACAGCACTTCTCATCGATGACATTTTCGATTACACGTCAGCCTGCATGGTTTGCAAAAATGTCTCTTCAATGACTGCTGACTTTACTGCTTTCCTTACCACTTCTCTTCTCTTCCTCTGTCATAATTCATGTGCTTACTTTCTTTTAATAGTTTTCTTTTATGCTATTGACATGCTGATAACATCTAAAAAATTAATCACTTAAACGCAAGTAATTAATTACATAAACATACCATCTGCGTGCAATTTTCATATTTTCTACAAAATCATTTTGTAAAAAATTTATTTGAAGTATACGGTCACTCGTTTTCGTATCACAGACTTATAAAACAATCTCGAGGGTAAATTTATTCTATCATTCGCAGGTCTCTGCTAAAATATATGTCATTGTAATATGCTATTCGAAATGGGAAATAAGATTATAAACCTGCAGTATTGTTCATATCATCAATTTCACTATTGCAATTCATTTGTGCACACGTACGTTATACTTAATTTTTACGTAATTTAGATTGTGACGATGGCATCATCATCCAGTATGAAAGATACTTCTTCGGTTGATTTACCCTATCATATTGATATACTTTTAAGTAAAAAAATTTACAATCCTGGTGACACAATTCATGGTGAAGTGATCTTTACACTTGAAAGAAATCTATCTTGTGATCTAATTAATGTACAGCTTTTCGGTTTAATTCGAGTTTTTTGGATAGATAAAAAGGCAGGTTTTTTGAGTTGAGAATATTAATTAATTTGTATCAATTTTGCACTATCCGAGTGGTCTACTTTCGCATATTTCTTTATTTAATAAAATTTTCTCACTTTTTTATTCAATCACTGACCTAATCAATTATCCGCCCTATAATTTATTGATCCCCAATTTATAAGTTTTAAAATTAAATGCTTAGATAGGCAATGGTTGTTTCCGTCCTCTGCCTCGTGAACAAAAAAGAGTTCTGATAGACGAAACCGTAATATTATGGTCCGAAGAAAAAACAAATTGCAAAAGACCAATCCAGCCAACTGTTAGTTTCACTTAATTTAGAAGAAATTTCATTCTCAAAAAATTGTCTATTAAATATCGCATTCTTTCTTTAGATATGTAAAGTTTAGATAAATATAACACAGAAAATAATATAAGATTTGAATGTATACCGAATACTTGAATCATATTACACGTATTAGTCGAATATCTGAATTTCTATTAGCAAATGCTTAAATAGGGCAGTATCAATGTGGCATGTCAGTTTCTCATCTAAGTATCTCATTTTAAAATTTTGTATTAAATACTTGAATCATATTACTCATTTTAAAATTTTGTATTAAATACTTTAAAACTGACTTATTAATAGGATTCTTTTTCAAACTACAGCTTAATGATATTTTACGACTGTCAGCAACAATCGCAATAAGAACAAAAAAATACGAACGGAATGGAAATTTTCGCGGAATCGAAACTGGAAGTCATAAATTTGAATTTACATTCCAATTACCAAAAGAAGGCCTTTACACATCGTTTGATCTTGGGAATTGTGATGGACGTGTGCGATATTGCATCAATGCAAGTGTCTTTGAAGTTTAATCCATTTATTAAAAATGCAAATTTTCAGCAATTTACTGCACTTATCCCAGTGCAATTCCATATTTTAGGTGCAATGCTTTTCTTATGGTTTGCTAGTACTTAAGCAAACATTGGTGTTTCCAGTCGTATGTCCAGTTGATCCGTCCCAATGTATGGATGCACTCCAAAATAGTTATAATAGAAAAAGAATGGAATTCAAGAAGTGAATCTTTATTTTACGATTTCTTTCAGTTACTATAAAAATTCAGTTTAAATTTTCACTAGATGATATCAATTTTGCTTCTGAGCTATACTTGACTAATTTTTCATGCTAAAGGTCATAATGAAATATGTCTTTCTAAATTCTTTTAGAGGTCGTTACCTTGATGTTGAACTGTCAGTCTCAAAACGTTGGTTGGTTCCTGGCGAGGCAATACCTGTTCAAGTATATATTGATAACAGGTATTTAAACTGATGTTTGGAATCTGTTGAAATTCAGAATGACAGGTTTTTAATTTGAATTTTTGAGAACTGGGCCATTCAATAGTTTTTTATCTGTGAAATGTTTAAAGAAAAATTTTGCATAGATCTGGCAAATCTATAAAATTTTCTCATTTATCGATACAACAACATGTTTTCTGCATAGCGACACATCCGTTGAAATGTGCTAAAGAATGGTTCCAGGATACGCTTGGTAAATTCATTACTATCTTTTAACTTTTCTTGCTGCATTGTAGTGACTGATCGATACTTCAGTTCGTTTAGAAATCATTTTTTTTTTTCTTTCTTATATTAATTCTATTTAACCATTTCACAGCAACCGCCTAATTCCACTTTTATAAAATTGATAGCAGGTGTTGGCATGGATGCACATAAAATACCGAATGGATCAAAGTATAAATATACTCCAAATTTCAATGTACCAGCTTTGGTACCCGGCTTCGAGATCAGTGGATGTATGACCCTCGAGTATGACCTCAAACTGGACGTTGGCTTTGATAGGATTACAATGAGCAGTGACATGAAACATATCATCTGTACCTTGACAGTCTGCTTTTTTTTGAACTTTTCATCTATTGTAAATATTCATATTGCAATCAATTATCGAATACTTCAAAACAACTGTTAGTTAAGTAATAAATTAAATGATTCTCAAGCCTGGTTAAGGCTATCTATATGTAACAACTAGTTTCTCGTGATACCTAATACTTGCTATCATGTGCTTATTAGTATTCTTAATGAAATATTCTCTTATCTAATTTTGAAAGTTGTAGAATACTTTAATATATTTTTAAAAGCACCGAACTATTTAAAACTTGAGAGTAAACATGAATATTTTATCCAGATACCAATTTTCATCGGGACAAGTTCCATAACAGACACAAATATTTTACAGAAATCTAAATTTCGAAAAGGTAAAGCTTTCAAATTTTCAAGTACCGAAGCCAAACAATGATTTGTTTTATGGGCATAAAGCAATAAAACATTATTTTAATCAATTGCAGAAGAGAAAATATTTTAATCAATTTTAGAGGGTACGATTGCTCATGTGAGATAAGAAATGGAAAGATAAAAAAGATTGAATTTTTTGAATTGAACCAACTAGAAGTAAGTGTGATGGTCACTTCTACTTAGAATGAAATTTCCAATCCAATTTATTTTTTATTTCCGTCAATTTAAATGAGCTAAAACTAAAAACATTTTATAGTATCTCTGTTACCGCCAAATTACTACGACATCCCACCACCATCTTATGACGAGTGCTTTTCAAAGGATCTAGTTATCAACGAAACAGTTGACTAGTGGTAAGCACCATTAGCTTCTCCACTGATATCTATCAAATATAATAGCTAGAAAATGTCCAAAAAAAGTTTAACCTTTCGTGATTGTTTCAGAAAATGTTATACATCGATACATATTCAATGATAATTAGATTTCGTATTGTGAAGTGGTCAGAATAATCAGAATATTAGCGACAATAGTATCATCAAGAAAGTATTATTTCTATGCACGTTTCATCCCAAACTTATGAAAATTGTTTTCAAATAAGTGATAGTATGTAAATTTTGGTCTGAAATAAATTGCTTATCGACTAGTTACAGTTAATCAGAATATTAGCAACAATAATATCTTCAAGGAAGTGCGCAATATTCCATTCTTTTGAAACAAATATCCTTATAAGGTTGCAAGATACGCTGAAATTAGTTGTGTTATACGTAAATGGATTTTGATTATAACAAACTGTGATAGATCATAAGATGACATGGGTCGTATAATTCAAATAACTTCTGAAAATATTAATTTTAGTAACAAAAGGAAACCGTCAAGATTTTAAGCAGAAAAATGTTTAACATCAACTATTTTAATATTTTTAATTTGAGTTGAATATAATTTGCTATTAAAAGAAAAAAAAAATATTACCAATAAATGAAAGTAATTTAGAAAAATATCGTTAAAAGAGCTAAAAGTGGAAAGAAGAAATAACTAACAAATATTTTCACTCATGTTTTGTTGAAATTGATAACTAGCAAGGAATTTTAATGTTGACAAGCAGAACGTGTTGATATTTGTCGTACCAAACTGTGGCAAAGGAATAAATGAAGAAACTGTCGTTGTCACATTAAATAAATTGTCAATACACTAGAATTTAAAAATAAGAAATAAAAAAGTGGTGATTAATGTACAATTACACCATTTCAGTAATAGAATTGATTGAATTTGACAGATTGCTACTTTACTTCCAATCCATTCATTTTGTTTGATGGTAAACTTCGATCCATGTATGTTTTTATTTTTCTTTCTTAAGCATTCGTAGTTCTCTTAGTTTCTATTTAAGTCAAAAATGCTTGCTTGCTGAGTAATTATTTTTTAACACTTTATTCATCTGATAATGCAAATAAAAATGCATTCGGCTTTTTTTTTATTTAAAAAAATACTTTTGATAACTAAGAGTTGATAATAAAGTTATTAATACAAATACAAATTGAACTAACTATGAAGTTTTAAGGTTATTCAGAAATTTTAAAATTATAGCTTCTGTAGTTTGATCCTAAATGTATATGTCCTAATTTCATGTCAAAAGTAAACTGATATTATCGGATTCATCGTACAAACAAAAAGAAATGTTCCGGTTTTTACGAAACATTTTAGTGAGCTTTTATTTTTTATCCCATCTAATTGCATTATTAAATGGGAAAATTTCTCATGCCAACAAATATATGAACGACAACGGTACCATTGAAGAAAGGTACGTTCTCCAATTACAATATATTATTAACAACTTTACAAAACTAAGTTAAATACGTTTAAACGTACGTTATAATGATTTATGTGAATTATATTAAGCGAAAAATATGTAAGGAAATCATTCTAATATATATATTAAATATACTATTTTCTAGGTACTTTTTATTTGAAGCTTTCATGTTTACCATAATTTTTTCTTCTATTTCACTACTTCCCTAACAATTTTGCTTCCAAAAAGTAGCAAATCTAGAATCACTTGAAGTGATCAGAAACCACTGTGGAATAATGAAGTGATCAACAACGATCCCAGCGATAACGTTATTGAAAGAAATGTCAGTGCCAATCTGTTTGCAAAAGGAAACGAATTTGATGCAAACAATGATAATGAAAATAGTATAACGAAGTTGCTACGAAGCAATTTGATTGATGGTGAAAATAATTCTGGTGATAATTTTACTGAAAGAGCTGTTAATGAGGAAAGCGAAATAAGTGGTATCACTTATCTATTTAATAATTTATGACTACGAAAGCACTGATTTGATTATATTATTGTGTCTGTATCAAATTCTTCTCTATTCTACCCAAACTTTCTTACAACAATTATTGCTTGATAGAGTCAGACTATTCTTGATTTCCTATTTATTTGAAACCATTTCAATTTATGGAATTTGTCAAGTTATAATTCTTTTTACTAGTTTGGAAATATTCAGAAAGTCAATCTAAATATCGAAATACTTGTACTAGTTCTGCCTTTATGATACGGAGTTCAAGTAATAAACTTAAAAAATAATATCTTTGAGTAAATTCATTTTACCTACTAATTAATTCTTTAAAGGAACATTTTCTTCTCTCGACCATGATAATTCCATTGAGAGTGAGAAGAACACTTCTGAAATTTATGACTACGATAGCACTGATACTAAACCAATTTTATGGATAAATACAACTTACCAAGTAAGTTTACGTGCAGCAATATCGTAAGTAACAGACACGTGTGAATGTTTTCTGTACAAGAAGAAATGCATATGAATATTCCGTGTCGACTAATCAGTCCTTCCTTCATTGCTGCAGGCTTACGATATTGGTTTAAATGTGACAACGATGGTTGAATGTGCTGTGTGGAATGTGTCGATGCTAATGAATATCACTGATACATCAGAGGTAAGTTCGGATTGTTTATATTCAAGAATTCTTTTTTCTTTTCATTCTTTCTAATTTTTTAGTTCCTTCTTTAAAATGCTTAGAGCAATATTTTGAAAGATGTTTCAGAATCAAATGAATGTTACCGACGGCGGCGATCCAAGCTGGACGATAAGTGGTATAGAAATTATAAACACAAAAGAACGTCTCGAAGAACTAAAATTAGATACAAATTTACTTGATCAGTATCGGGTCTGAATTATTTTACTGTAAAACTTCATAATAAGCATATTCTTTACGTGGATACATTAATAACTTTAATTTAAATGCTAAATAGGTCTATTTGCATTGTTAGTTAGTGGTTAGGAGAACACTTTAGGCTACGAATCATTTCGTACTCAATAAAGCACTCCGAATCATTCGGAAACTATTACTAATAACGCATTATCTGAAAAATATTTCAAGAAAATTATGATTGTCTTCGAAGAGATTTGTAAAAATTATCCACGGGAATTATGGTTTTCAACAGTTGAAGATGCGCGACAACTGGGAATAACAAAAACAGATTCATTTATCTGCGACCCATTCAAGGTATTCTTTACCACTAGAAATTGATATTTATGGTTAGGAGACGTTAATAATTTTTGGCAGAAACTATTGCTTTCTGCCAAAAATTTTTGAATTTCTGTTTTGATAAGTCGGAAGAAATGCACAGAAACTGTTTTCCCCTTTGCTGCTTTGAAATATCAACAACTTTTCATTTTATTAAGCAATAGATCAAAACTGTTTACTGATATTCTAATTTATTAGTAAAAGCAGTTTGATTCAATTCGTTGTAGGAAGAATTGCATCCCAGTGAAGAAAAATTGCAGCAATTTGAACAACTTTTAAACGAAATTGTGCATAATACCACTACTACCTTAAACGGTATGTTTTATATTCGTGAACAATTTCAGGACTCACTAAAGCAATTAGCTATCAGAAAGAAAATAGAATTTTGGATTAATAAAGATGGGAACTTTTTGAAGAAAGACAGATGACTCTCCAAATTAATATTGTTAAAAAATAAAATTAATATTGTTAATTCATTGCAACATTAGCTAGATAATTCTAGAATTGTCTACGATAATTAACGACAATATAATGTTTGAAACAGTTACACCGATCACTTTATCGAAGAATAAAAGGTAATAATTGATGTAAGATTGATGGCAAATGGGCTACTGAACAGAAGGTTCAGACTTGAATTTCTTTGTGCATATCTTAGACGAAATATATAAAGAGCATATAGTACGAGTTCACTGCAGTACAGAAAAGGAATATCAGCTTGGTAAACGCAGCTTGGTTCGATATCTCAGGGAGACTTCTCAGAAAGACAGTGGTAGTGATGAAGCGTCTGTCGACAGTAAGGATGATTCAGTATATCTGGATAAGGTTTTCATTTTTCTGAATTCAAATAGAGGCACAAACTACTTGAATTCTTCGCTAAATAAATCTAGTGTTTGGGACACTGAGGATGGAATTTGTTCTCATCTATTCGTTTGTTTTAGGATTCATGGACAGATACTCAAGAGGATTCTGACGAAATGATTAAGAAAGAGACTCCGGCTGCCAGTGATGATCGTAAGGGTTTAAAAGCGCCAGTTGTAATCAAAATAGATGCCGGTCAACAGCAGTAAATCCTTTTTAATTTAAATTAGAGTAATCACAACTTTTACATAACTTGATAAGGTAACGTGAAATGGGATCTGATTCGAGCAGATTGTAGAGTCGAATAGTTTGTGGAGAAGGAGAGGTTTAATCAGTCTTTATTTTATTGGAATTAAAGATTATCGTTGATCATACTTGTTGAACAATACTAGAAAGATTGAGGATTTGGCTGTAAGGCAATGAGTGCCAGATCGTTGTCCAGAAAACCTCACCTTGACAAAGGTAAGCATTAGTAATCATTAGTTCCTAACATGACGGCAAAGGAGTCAGCTAAACGAAAACCTTGTCAAATTCGAATATAATTTATAGTTAACAAGAATGACAAACAGCAGAAGAGGTTAGTAAATTGAGAACTGATAATTGTAAACAATTGGGGACCAATTCCAACACATATTTTTTGTTAACATATAATGCAAATATGCTCAGATACATGGAAGATGAATATTAGATAAATGGTTTCTTATGTGACATTAGAACATTTGTCCAAAAAATGTTCAAACATCTTTAATCTATAATTTTATTTCTGTACGTTGTAATTCGGTTTTTCTGACATAGGATAGTAGCGCTTGGATAGTTTGTTTGTTAGAAAGTTAAGTAAATGGGGAACTATTTCCGAGTTGACCGAAACAGATGCACGATTCAGATTACTGACAGTGGTGGATAGAATGAGTAGTTCATTATTAGTAGAACGAGATTTGGTGAGCAGAGGCAATTATTGATAAGAAAGTTTTGTTACCTTAAGAGATTGAATTACTTTCAATTGCAAAATGACCTCATTGCAGAGCTCGACTGATTATAAATAAGTGGGAAGCAGTTCAAGCATTACGTCTAAGCATAGCAAAACACGTATTTGAACGACATCAACTTATTGGCTTATTCCTTGACGGTATTTGTGCTGATTTCGTGCCAAGCGCTGTTGATGAGTTCAATGCAACCGAGTTTGAAGGTTATGCTTTGTCTCATTTTGGATAGAAATTGTACGAGGTGAAAGTTTTTTATGGATTTTAGTGAATAAATATCTTTTCTTGATTTTAATTATTATCTTTTTCATTAGTAAAATTGCAGGAGTGGATATTGAGGGCCCGATAGGATTGAATATAACAACGTTATCATTATCTGGTGTTAATTTAACAGAATTAGCTGAGAAGTTACGGAACGATACTGAAGTCGATATGATACTTAATAGAACAATGTCCGAGAATGGGTATATTCATATTTATTCAAGATTTTACAATGATGTTTTTATCATACCTAAAATCTGTTTGGCTTTTATAATGTACTCAAGTAATTAGGAAAAAACTGGTACTAGTTAAACAGCCAAACTTTAGATTTAGATTCTTATTGACTTTCGATGTTATCTTATCGGAATTATTAAATATTGCCATATTTTTGGTAGCTGACATCAGAGAGTGTTGTAAATACACCGTATTAGAATAATTAAAATTAAACCTTAATTGAAAAATATCCAACTTTCTTAAAAAGGCATAAATGACTGTTTTTGAATCATCCGCCTTACAATTTTCAGAACTCTTGGTGGTTCATTCATTTTGCCAGTTCTTCAGAAGAACAAATATGATCCGTTTTCGGCACCTATTGTTTTTCAAGGTAGTGCGGTGGTTGTTCGTTTCGGAATTTATATTGAGTCGATGAGTAATTTTCAAACTTCTACTATGGTATCATTTAATTTGATTTTCTATACAAAAGATAAAATATGTTTTATTGATAAACGCAACTTATTCTGATGAATCAATAAATGCTGCTCGAATGCAACTTCCAGTTTAAAATTTTGTAGGTTTTTTTGAGTTTCAATTTAAAAATTCATTACCTTTATAAAATAGACGCTTGCAGTCTACTTGCAGGATTATGATATGGATATCTTTTTGATGATGGCTTGGCGTGATGCACGACTGGTAAATCCATATGAGAAAGCTATTCTTGTTAAAGAGGAAGAAATTTTGGAGAAAATTTGGCGACCTGATCCATTTTTTGCTAATGCTAAGGAAGCTTCTTTCCATGAAGTTACTTTTCTAAATTTTCTGATGCGAATTTATAACGACGGCTTAGTTCTCTATGAGACAAGGTTTGCCTTTTCGGATCTTCATTACAATTTTACTTTATCATATCATACTTAGATTATATCACTGCTACCAATCAAAATACATATGTGACTAACTTATAAAAAGACTATTGGTTGAACAAAGAAGTCATTTCCTTCTTATTTTCAGAATTAAACTAAAGCCATCATGCAATCTTGTGCTCTGTAAATATCCGCACGATAGGCAAACTTGTGAATTGAAGATTAAATCTTGTAAGTATGTTGAAACTATCTTTGTAAAAGGTAAATAAAAGTTTTTTAAAAGATCTTTTTTCCTTTAAAGTTCAAGCAAGAAAGCCAAGAGTTGATTGGTAATATTGTGATAAAAATATTACAAGTATTCGCTTAAATATGGCATAATTTTAGTTGCATATCCTACAAAAACTGTACGATTTGAATGGTTTTCAAATAAACGTGACGCAATTGACAAGAATCCAGACGTTACGCTGCCTGAGCTTTATATTCATCGTTACGAACCGACGTATTGCGAAAGGACCAGAAAATCAGGTATTTGAAATAAACTATCTGAGCAAGTTTCGATGATTGCAAAATCTCTTTAAAAGGCTAAAATTTGAAGAATTCAAGATTTTTCATGCATTCTTCCAAACTTTAAGTCGCCAAGCAATGAATGAACTATTATGGTATTTAAAATACTAGCAACTGAAGGCAAAAATTTACCAAGTAATGCAGTATGCAACAAGTTTTTAAATAAAATAACTCAGCTAACCTGACTACTTTTTTTAGCCTTATAAAGGTCACTGTTGTCCCTTCTTAATAATTACGTTTTATCTGTATAGTTTGTTCTTCATTAGGAGTCTCTATTTCTTAATTTCCATTTCCACACAATTCGTCGTATTTTCAGGTCATTTTTCCTGTTTGAAGGCAATTTTTCGATTAAAACGCGATGTTGGTTTCCACATTGCTCAAACTTACATACCAACTTCACTGGCACTAATGTTTTCATGGGTACTTTTGCTATTGTTTGATGAAATATTTGGAATCACTGTCAGTTCATAAAACAGACTTTAAATCTGATAGGTTGGTGTATGGCTTCCCGAAGAATTTATGGAGGGACGTATTGGTGTGGCAATCACTGTACTCCTAACGTTATCGACGGAATCAGCCGGTGCTCGTGAACATCTTCCGAGCGTTTCTTACATGAAGGTTGCTTTATTTGCTAAAAGTGGACTATACTTCATAAAAAAAAATTAGAAATTCTCTCCTCCATGCAACAAAATGCTTTTTTCAGGCAATCGATTTATGGTTTGGCTTTATCACAGCTTTTGTGTTTATCACGCTTCTCCAAACACTTATTGTTATTGCATTGGATAAACGAGCCAAGCAATTGGTCAGTTGCTAGATAGTTTGAGTTTTTCTTGCAATCATTACCAACCACAAATTACGTAAATCACAATAAGACTATGTCTAGAGGAAATCAGCAGCGAAGAAGAAAAGTGAATTAACGGAACAATCGCGGGAGCTTATGTTGGCTAGAGCTGAACAGTACCACAAACGTGGCAGGTCAGCGAACAATTATATAGTCAGTTTAGCTTTTCATTAGTCAATCGGAAAACAAACTTCCTTCCTGCTTTTCATAACTACATTCTTCAATACAGCCTAATTCAATTTTCGCATCAAAGTTTTGTTTCTAGGTATTTGGACAATTTTTGTCGTTTATTCTATCCACTAGGATTTTTGATATTTCTAATTGCATATTACTTCGTGTTTACCGAAGGACGACAAAACGATTGCGTTGTAACTGGCCGACAAACTTGATAGCTTGTATTTCTAAAATATATTTAGATTTAAATGTGATAAGAATGCAAGATTATACGGCACGCATGAATCTGTATTATGTGCCAAAAATAGAGTATTAACAAAACATTATCAGCTACTTCATTCTAATAACATAATGCACATTTCGTGGATGAGAATGAAAAAAAATTACAATTAAAATAAAAGAACAAAAATGCTTAAGGGAAACGTTCACAGTATCCATTCAAAAACTTCTCTTTTTCCTTCCAGTTACAGATTTTATTTTGAGCTCCTTTGCTTCTTACTGCATGACCAAAGTTTGCTACTTATATTTTAGGTAGTTCATGAAATAAATGAACAAAAAATACTTTTTGGTGGTTAAAAGTTATTTTTGTATCACCAAAAATTTGTTATCCTCAACTGTTTCAAACTCAGTTTCGCTGTCAGCATTCCTTTGTTCATGCAGCAGTGAATTTGGTGTATTTGGTGGTTGAGCAACCTGAAAATTGAGCAACTTGGTCAAATACAATTTCTTCAGATATTTCAGTGATCTATTTGGGAAAAAAATAATGTTTGCTATAAAGAATTGAAATATAAGATTTAGCAATTCATTTTTCCTTTTTTGCTAATTCGGTAAAACTCTGTTTGATTATATATCTACCTCACATCCATTAATTCGTTGTTCCATATCCAAACGATTGGGAAGTGTACGGTGTGACAGCTTTAGTGTTGGTGCCTCAGTAAGAAGTGTAGAATCAATCATGTCTGGACCCATGACCGATGCATAGTCATTCTATAATTCGAATTTTTAAAAATGAAGAAAAACATGAGAAATGATCTGAAAACATTAGGAATTAAAGCTCATCATAGCAAGAGTAGAGCCATGTTATATGAACAATATGACATCTATATGACCGTTGAGCTGCCGCAAAAACTTTTTCGCTGCTCGCTTGATGTGATCGTTAAGTGAGGCCAAGACTGATCAAATATAGCTTTTCCACCAAGTGTATTTCGTGCACTAGTACGAGATAGATGTGCTGGTGCTGGTGAACCAACATAGGTCACCTCGGTAGTAACTTCAGCACCGGCTTTACCCAACGAAGAATCCGATTTATTTTTGTTACGAACAGAAAGTATTGAATCTGAAAAGAAAGGAATTTCGCAAACAAGAAATTGGTTAATATAATTCTAAAAGAATCTAAAAGATGTAAAATAATGACTCTAAACAATGCACATCACGACTTGTTTTTATACATTTTCTTTCATAAATTTATTGTAGCAATAAAAAGTATCGAAAATATATTGTTTCAAGTTTTCCAGAATAAAATTACTAAAGTTTTTTAAAAACAACTAACACAACCTTCAAAAATATAATAGCACTTCTCCGTAAATGTAAGTTTATTAACAACGTGTCTAATATGTCCCTCTGCTAAGAGCTTTGATGCATAGATACGCGCTGCTTTACGATCCGTAATACCGTGTACGTGTTCCATCAACCAATCAACAAGGTCACAGCCTTAAATCAGTGTTAGAACTATATGTTAGATGAGATAGCATTAAACATCTTCTACAGAAAATCATACCAATGAAAGACATCGGCACAGGAATTTTCAGCCATTTTCGATTCTTTATTTGCAGCCCTGAACTAGGTAAAGCCATATACTTTAGAATGATCACCGGATCCATATCAACATTTAGGTTATCCAATTGCTGTTCTGTAACTTGTACGCAGTAAAACAAGCAAAAAAATCGGCCAATGCCGCTGTCACATACGATACAAGACAATGCCCAGCATTTCGTAACCGATTGAGAATGGATTCTTGAAAAAAGCTTACAAAGTCAGTTTAATTTTCGTTTTCAATCTGTATGTTAACCAAATTACTAATATTTTCAAGAAAATTAAAAGCAAATTTAGCATAGCATGGGAATCGTTCTTTGTTTGTTTTCAAGCATAATATCAAATATTTACAAACCATTTTCTTCATTTTCTCGTCGTCTTGCAATATCCTCAATATTCAATGAAGTATTTAAGTCGGGTGGATTCAATTGCTTCAATTTCACACAATTCTGAATGCTTGGAATATGTCCGTTTCGTCGCTCTGCATAAGCACCTTCTAGATCAGTTTCAGCTTCCTCAGCGACAAGCGTAGCGTCACCATCATTGACCGAAACCATCTCCTCAAGACCTTTCGGTGGTCGCACAATATTGTGTCTGAACATCCATTTCAGAATGACGATAAAGTTGAGTGCAACATTTCATAAATTTCATTTGAAAAAATAAAAATGTGAGTCAACGATAAGCATTGAAATAATTTTGAGTATTAAGAAAAAAAAGATTTACTTAGTGCTCTCCACCCAAAGTGATATATCTATGGGCATCGTTTCCGAAGCAATCCCTGAGAGTATATCTGCTCGCTTATCTGAATTATTGCACGTCCTTTTGGCAACATAAAGTGTGATTGGCCTGAAATAGTATAGCTAAATAAAGCACCAGTAAAATGACGCATTTCGAACACTGATATTCGATAAAAGATGTTGAAAGCAAATGAGGAAAGATAAAAGCTAAAACAGCTAACTTTCGACTAGCTGCTGCTTTACGCAATAAATCAACCGCTTCAACATCGCTTAAATTTTCGAATGAACTTCGATTCACTTGCACAATTTGATCACCAACTTCAATCCGACCATCCAAATCAACTATTCCACCTGTGACAGTAATGATTGAAGTTTTATGTAGGGAACATGAGTTTCAATTTTCTTCAATATCCTAAAAAATAATTTAGAAAACGAATAAAATAATAATAATACTAACCACTGTGAACATCACTAACAAAAATGCCACCATCGTGACTTAGTACAGAAATTCCCAAGAAAACTCCATTTTTCATTGGTAGCGTTATAACATCGATTCGAGGAAGTGAAAGAGAAGTCATACTGAAGAATAACATTTATACAACAAAGTAAATTAATGTGCCACCAAAATACAAAGCTATTGAGAACAATTAAGCAGATTATCGATTGAAAATCGGCCAGAGATTTTCCATTTTAGCTTCCAAAACCAATTTCATATATAACCTGCTTTCAGTTACTGACGAAATTGTGCTTGGTACATAAGCTTTTCGATATCTTTCTTTGCGGGGACGTCTTTGACGGCGAGGACACGGAAGTACCCCACTGGGACTAGCAAGCGGTGAAGCAGGAAAGACTGGTGCACAAGCACCAGGATGTTTGAAATATCTGTAACGAAAAAAATCAGACGACAGTAACTAAGCTGTTTGATGTTTTTAAAATAAGTCACAAAACTACCTTGAATTCACATCTTCTAGATGGTATGGATCTTCTGAATTTGATGCATACAATTCTGCCAAACCTTCACCAGCTCTTTCTGAAATTATTGCTTATTTTCAAACCCAACAAACAAGCAAATAGGATCCCGAAAGTTCTTACGATTACTAATTATAAGAAAAAATCACGAATTTGAACTTCATAAAACATTATGACCTACAACACTCTACAAAAGTAAGAATTATCAAAAGTGAGAAAATCAGCGATTCATATTCGCTAAATTATTAAAGTTTCAAATACTCTGATATTATTTCATATCCCGGACGGACATAATTTAAAAGATTGAAATGATTCATTTCATGCTCCACTGCATGTAGCACAAATTTCAAGACAATAGAAAAGAACTTTTGTAATACCAACGATTAAATTTACTTAAAGAAATATAATCTGCGTCAGCAAAACCAATCCTTCCTTGTCTTCTGTTTTTAAGTGGTTTCTCTTAGGTTAAGTTAATTCTCTTAAGTTAGTCACTACTGTAAGTACTCGAATTTTAGTGAAATGAAAAAAAGGTTTACCTACAGTTCATATCAGAAAATTCACTTACTACTAATCACTGTCGACAAACTGCTTGCCGTGATGCTGTTTTCATCACTTTTGTTCCGATGTATACGCAACAAATCACGATTTTCACTAGCTAGATCATGCAAAGACCTTCGTTTTCTCAAATTGAAATCCTTAAAATTTAAAACAATTTGATTCAAGTAATAGCTTTCAAAATCAGCTCAATCGTAATTCCATATCTTTTTCCCGAAGTTTCTGAAACCTGACAAAAGCACATTATACCTTCAACTTAGCACCAGTGAGTTGTCCTTTGTTTGTTTTGTTAGATACTCTTGGTAATGTTCCTGAACAGTGAACGTTATCGGATGAGGAAAGAAGAACCAATTCGATGAGTCCATTTGCTGATTTAACCAATTTCGTCGAATCATCTCGGATTTCTACTTTTACTTCACTAAATAAATTATATATTTATCTCAAATATATCGAAAATATGGAGGGACAAAAATACATATTTAAATGGAAATTTCAGATATGTTTTATACAAACTTCAAAACTCTGCCTAAAATAAAGTGTTTTATACAACTGTATCAAAAATGATATTCGAAACATTAACCATCCAACTGCTTCGTCCAGCTGTTTGCAAAAATACTTGTACCCTTTCTTGTTAAAAACTTTCTTAAAATCACCAAGCGTAATGGCATCATCTGCAACGGGCACTACAGATAAATATGGAGTACTGTCGTCCAAATAATAATACACCTAAAAGATGGATTATTAAACTCCATTTTTGAGGAATACATCTTGCCATTCCGCGTGCAATAATTAAACAACCCTGCATAAAGCAACAAAAATGCCAAATGATGAATGAAAATAAAATAAAGAAAAAGTGCAGATGAGACAAAGTTTCAAATTTAGCTGAAATAATCGACAAATGTGAGTTAAACAAGTATTAAGACATGTAAACTTCTATATCAGGAAAATAAAGTTAAAATTAACAAATACGTAATAAAATTCTATCATGATGACAGCTCTTGATTTTATACATCCGGTTATTTTCCAAGTCGGTTTTAATTGCTAAATGATCAGTGCGCAGCTAATAGAAGTCATAAATGAATGCAAACCTTAGTGGATATAGCAGCAGCTTCCTCCCGCATCACTTCATTAATTCTGAAAAATAACGATTATTCCACAAAAATAAGCATGATAAAAACGGATAAACATTTCAAATTTCTTCCATAAAATCCTTGTGACTCTATGTACTTTCATGGCTTAAGTCTTATTAGGAAATTAAAGTCCAGCCAACTAAAATTATCAGTACCCTCTTACATTCGTCCTTGAGAAAGGAAAAGAAAAAGAGAAAGGGGAAAGCACCTTCTTGTTCTTCAAATGCATAACATTAATTGTCCTTGACCTGAACCACAGTACGTCAAGCACAGTTTTTTTTCCTGTCACAGCAAAAACAGGCGCTGAAGCAAAGGATTTACACCTAAATGAAACTCATTTGACAAAGCTCATGACAGTCATTAATGTTACTGCATGAATAATCGATACATTTTTGCTGTTTAAAAAAAAAATGGAAAATCAACCGAATTCAAAATCACCAATGAGATTCCAGCTTTAAATATTATCGGAATGACTGCGACTTTAGGATTAATTTAAATTTCGTAGAGAAGAAAAAAAAAGGCGCGTTGACACTCAAACTGTATTTGTTTCACTTACTATGTAAATAAGAATGTTGCATCATTCAGTCACTTCTGTTTCTGAAAAACAGAACTATGCAATGAGGTAGGGGAGAAACGATTTCTTGCATAACCCTTATCATCACATAAATCATTCTCCGTCCGAAAAAGGGTAATCTTTTTTTTTTTTTGTTTTTTTTTTTTTTTTTTTTTGTAGGACATTTATCTTAATTTTAATTTATTAAAACACCTCCAAAACCAATGTTGTTGAGCAGTAGAATGCTTTCTCATCTTTCCCCACATTTATAAGCTTTCTGTTCTTCGATAGTTCCAAAAAGTGAGGAATGAGGGAATTACTACCAGGCTCTAAGTTCACTGGTAAGCAAAGGTAAAGAAATTCTCATATTTAATGAGGTAGAATAATCCAACCCAACAAATGACCCCAATTCACTAACATCAAAATCTCGGTGTAATCAGACCACGAGATCATCTATCTAATGTGGCAGCGACTTGCAATCACTACGTCTCATGTACTCATGATTTCACAAATTTCTGTTTTTGACAAAGCCTCTTGCCGATCAGTGATATTTTCCCGTTGACCTGCAGTTTTCCAGTGCTTTACGCGACATCCGCGAGTTCTTCTATTGCTTTGGAATCAATCATACCAACGTTTTGAAAAGTTTTACAAGTGCATCTATCAATTTTTCAATTTAGTAAATTGCGTTCTAATTTGCCAAATTGAAATATTATTTCATATAATTAATTCATATGGAAATAAAATTCACTAAATTTATGTAAAATATTCTCAAAGTTCTCTGTTACCATTGTCAACCACTTTCACTTATTTCTGCGTGAAATATTTCAGATATGAACTGTGTTTATTAATGGCTTTTCGTAATTTGAATGAGTTTTAATTTTAAATAAATGGTTTTTAAATAAATACATATAAATGGTTTTTAAATAAAATTTTTTTTTTTAAATAAATACAAAGAAAGAATAGTATGGATCACATTAAGTTACAAGCTTTCTTATGCTTAAATTTCGGATTGTTTGAAGTACTTTTTATGCAATTATATAATGATTTCACACTGCGCTGAAACAAAATTCCACAATTTTCAGCTTTTCACAACATCAACATATTTGACAGCAGTTGCTGAGGTAATGATGATTTAGAATAAATTATTGACACTTATGGCACCATGCTGGCTCGCATCATACCTTATCGAAGATGGAGACATCCATTTGTGTAAGGTGACTGTTGCAAAAATTGAAATCATGTTGAAACATTATTTCATGCATGCCGCCACTACATGTACATACTTCAGAATTGTCCAATCCGCATAAGATGATTGGCTTTCCGGGAAACATATTCATAAATTCAGGAATCCACTGTAAAAGAAAAAAAAAAAACTAGCTTTTATGATTTTCTGACGTACTTTTGACTAAGTTATAACTTAAAATTTATAATTACATGCAACTGAAGTGAAGTTAGAACAAAAATTAAAGTAATAGTGAAAAATTATAAAAATAATGATAGTCACGGTTGAGTTTGTAAGCAAAAATTTTATGAAATAAAAATCAAAAAAAATGTTTTTATTGAATTTGCAACAATTGTGATGATTTTAACTTCTTCGATGACACTCCGATAAGTTTGTCCAGTTGTTATCGAATAGCATGCTACACAGCAATCGATGCTTTCGGTGCACTGTTTGCAAAACATTTCAAAATTATGCAAATCAACAAAAAGCCACATCTGCATCTCACGTCCATCTTGTGTTACTGTTGTACAACACTCGGCATCCTATACATCATTCCAATTCATTAATAAATATTTTATGTAAAAAAGGGAGATAAGTTTTTCAGTGTAGAAATTTCATTTACATCTTTTCAATCATTTGGTCTACTCAATCGTCTCTTTGAAATCAAGAATAGATGTTGTTCCTAAATATTAAATATTCTAGACTGGATCCCTTTTTTATGACATTAATATGAGAGACGACGAAGACATTGATTATGATTGAAATTTGAAGAAATACTTGCAGAGAATGGGATTTCTTTAAAGCAATTCAATTTTGCTAATTCACTTCTTAGCAAGCTAACACCACTGGAACAGTCACCAAGCATTACTATTCGATGTGGAATTACTTGCATTTCTTCATCACCTCTTACTGTCAACGCCAGATATCGTCCTTTAGATCTGCCAAACAATAATGAAGACTCTGAAGTGTAAGAAGCGAATGAATTGAGTGAAAATCTTACTTACACTATAAATGGATTATGTAATTTAAAGAAGTAATAAAGATGCATGGATTGCAAAAGTTCAAAGTGGCACTAAAAATGTGCTATAAGAAAGTTGTTTCAATGACGAATTTTGTTATTAAATGATTTAAAATGCTTGAAATTTTATTAATTCTACTTACTAGTTCCTTTATAATTCTCACTCTCTGTATCTCTTATTATTGATCATTTAATTTCCAATCTTGACAGAAAAAGGCATTACCTAACTTACCTGACCATAGTGATGGTGTTGCGAATTGTGCAGTGGTAGATGACGAAGTGCCGCTCTGCCGAGAATCCGAAGTTCGTCCACATTTCTTCATTGTTATACATCCACCTGTTGTCAGTCATACAGCCATTAACAATCAGATATAAGCGAATAAGTTTCATCCTTTAGTTAAGAAGTTTTGTAATACCTGAACTGTCACGCATATATCACAAGATAATTAAATATACGTTTTAGGATTATGCAAATATTTAATTATTTATAACTGCTGAAGTAAATAAAGAGTAATTCATGTCACCAACATTCTTCTCCACTTCACTGAAACTTTAAACTCTATTGCGAACAAATCTTCTGAAGAATTTTATTTCTGTACCTTCTAGTATCTATAAGATTTCATTCAGTTGTTCTATTCCATTTCAATGTCGAGAATAAAAGTCCATTATCATTTCAAGTTCCAATATAATGCTTCATATTATAAAAAAAAGTATGAAAAAAATAAAGGAATATATTTAAAACTGAATCAAATAAAGAAGTAAACTTTATTGTGGTTTAGGAAGTGTACATAAACAGGAATTGCGTTTCAAATGTAAAGTGCAGCATGCTTTGAGTTTTGATTTCATTATATAATTATAAATAAAATGTTTATTTTATTAGTGCGGCGAATTAAAAAACCAAACAAGACAAGACGAAACAATTTGGATATAAACCTAATTAAGACTGGAATTTTTCGTTATCAAATTTCTGAGTACTTAATATTCATTTAAGGAAAACAATAAGTCATTGCGCCTATAGTTGGATGACAAATTGATTTATACTGGAAGCTTTCCTTTTCATTCAAACAAACTATTTACTTCATTAGTGCAGCGAATTAAAAGTTTATCAAAGCAAGAAATAAAATAATGTAAATTCTTAATTAAAAATTTCCTAATGGAAGTAGAATTTCGAGTGCAGCTTAAAATAGAAACAATTCATTGAATAGTTCTCAGTGCTATGAAATGGGACAAAAAGGGAAAGAGAAAGGTAGCTGATAGTATGTCTTATTATTTCGGTTAACTATTGACTTCGGTTCGACTTTTCTTGGGGATTCCGAACCAGGACTACATCTTTTTCTGACACTACCATACCATAGTATAAAATAATCTATTTACAATATTCCGAATTTCAGGTGCTTGTAATAATAGTAAAAGTAAAGAGATTGCAGAACGCATACTGACAGCAGGAACCGGATAAATCTATTCCAGATTGCTATTCCAGAAATACATTATGCTATTTGATTAAAATCAGTACTAATAGTGTAATGGATCGGGTATTTACATATTTGGAAGTTTAACCTTTCAAATTCTCATCGGCAGTTTTTATTTAAATAATTCAGTAAGTACTAAGATTCAGTAATTATCTTAATTGAGAAATGGAAGTAACTTTACTTTGTCAATATGTTTTTAAGTAAAGTGACGTATATGAATATGCATGAAAAGACGTATGAATTTGGATTTTGAAATGTAAAAGCGTGTGTCATATGCATAGGTTTGTGACGTCATATACAACACGTGAAATCAAGCGGACATACGTCATATCCATATGGCACAGAAACGTGTCATGTACTGTTCGTCAACAGAAAAAGTCGTGCAAGACAAGGGGAGCAAGGATCGCTCGTCCAGAATCGCACTTAGCCCGCGCACCTGGAGTGTACTCACGAGCGATTGGCGCTGAATTCATATACTTGAACTTGACCTCAAGGACTCCTCCTCATCGAGCAGTTGTTCTCTGTCCTTTGGCGATGTTGTTTTAGTCTCTTTCTGCATTACCTTATATCAATTAACTATTTTAGAAGTGTAGTTAGTGTAACTTCCAGTAGATAAGCATTAATTATCATACAAAGATGTAGAAATTGATCGAGTTTTAGTCGTAAACATTGTTTTTGTCTTTATACTATTTCTATAGATTAATTTTCATATCATTTTACTTATAGTTATTTTAACAGTAATTATTTGGGAAGGAATGAGTAAGAAAGGAAGAAACCACAGTCAAAAACACCAACTTTTCAAGCCATCAGTACGTGGCAAAAATATCCATTTTTGGGGCAATGAATGTGATGAAACTTCAGATGACGATAATTCATGGTACTCAGCTAAAACTGTGAATTGTAAGACATGCCTGAAACCGAAGTATGGACGTCGTAAGTTTGTCTGAAATAATTCTTTTTAGAAATATTTTGATAACTAACTTTTCTACATGATATATGCCTTGTAATTTTATTTTAAAATTTGCGAACTACCTTAATATATAGGATAACATGCACAAGCTTAGATAGCATATACATTTTTTTTAGTATTTCTACTCATTTATCCTTTAATTATCTACACTTTTCTTAAAACACTCCACTTTCAGATCCTAATAAACCAGTTGGCAAAGAAATTATAGAAATTTTCCGTAAAAAAAGACCGTCATTAGAAAATATTCAACGTGCTTTACAACTTCTCAATGTACTTGTTGACAACTTTCAATCACCAGTTGATGAGATATATCGTCAAAGTTTGGATGTGCTTTTGGTTCAGGGGATTCAATTTCAGGTTTATTCGTGATGTATTTTTTCTTAAAATAAAAATAAGATCAGCACTTCTTTTATTACCAAGATCAGGAGTGGAAACCTACGATTTTCTATTTATTTTTCTCTACTTGTTACAATTTTGTGACAGTGCTTATTATATTATGTATTAATAAGTTTGCTGCAGAACCATACCATCCAGTATTATTCGATACATGCTTTGTCCATAGTTGTCGTACATATGGATGAAGATCAATTGAAAAGTTTGATACCGCGAGGACTGTTGACAGGCCTTACAACTCTACTTCAAAGCGAAGTACTTCGCATCGTTCAGAAGGTATAGAATGTGACATATAGGTGATTTATAATTATGAACTAAACTATGTTAGGGTTTTCAGTTAGTAAGATCGAAATTTCTAATCAGCTTCTTTATTAATCATAAAATAGTTCAAAGTATTACTAACATTGCAATAGCACAAAACTCTGTTACGTGATGAATTTTCAGGCTATCGACGTTTGCTCGTCTATCACTATCAAAAGTGCTGCTATGCGCGACATCGTTGCAGTTTGTGGGTCATTGCACATACGCGAATTGCTGTCGAAGCACTATCAAACGATTTCCAAAGAATTTGCACGCGTTGTCACAACCTTTCTGCAAGATTTGTGTAGTCCTAAGCCAGTCCCAGAATTCGTCTTGAAATATGTTGCCAGTAGTGCTCGTTATCTTTTGCGGCATGAGGTAGACTTCTTTTTCTAATGTATATTCTACCCGCAGGTAAAATTGCCTTGAAAATTGCACATTTTTCTCGATTGTCAGCTCATCTTGCATTTTCTTGTCCATCTTAAACTTCCATCCTCTATCTGTAACGGATTGCTCAATTCTTGACAATGCTCGATTATTCTATAGACCGTTTTCTTATTCGAAAATCTCCTGAATATTCAACTAATATTAGTTGTAGTTAATCATTACAGTTTCTTTATTTTACATGGAGTTCACGCTCTGCTAACTCTTTTCATGGCTTATTTTTGAAGTAACAAATGGTATTTAGGAGAACGAGATCCGAACAAGTGCTCTGAGAGCTATACTGAATGTGGTTACTAACAAGGATTTTACTCTCACTTTTGAAGATGATTATGTGGAGCTCATTATGAGATTTCTCGATAGTGCACGCAATAATGAAATTAGAGCCTCGTTTAATATCATTGAAGTGTTTGCAAAACAAAACAACTGCAATACTGATGTAATTATTATTCGGAAAATCACTTTTTTTTATTTAAATAAGTTTGGTAGTTATACACTGTTTGGGATTTTTCGAGCGTTCCGCTGTCGACTTTTGAAGATTTCTAAATTTCGACCTCTCAGACATTTGGAGTAGCTATCTCTGCAGCGTGTTTATAAAAAAAAAAAATCACGAGATTTTTTTGATGAAAGCATGTTTCCGAATATAAATATCTTAGATTTTATAAGATGATAGTGCAATAAAATAAAAGATGCATAAGCAAGCTAAAAGTATGTTTCCCACTTAAATTTATATCCGTATTATAGGCAATCGTTAAAGCAGGAATAATAAGAAAGTTCATGTCTCTTCTTCAAAATATGTCTTTAAAGTATGGTCTTGATATTTGTGCAGTGATCACAAGTCTTCTGTCTAATAAGAAATACATAGAACCCGTGTTGGAATCAGGATTTGTACTGTTGCTTCTTGGACTTATGGATCGGGTAAGTTACTATAATGAAATATTTTGAGAAAAGGTTGGTAAACTTGAGGGTAAGTAAGGATCATCCAGAAAAAAGTATAATTAAAGAATGCATTTCATTAAAAGGGTAGATATAAAAAATCGAAATACAACAAAAAAATTTCAACGAACTTAAATCATAATTCTTAAATGAATTTGTTATACGCATAACGCTTTGACAAGTTGCTGCATTTAACAGATAAATGTGCTACGAAGATTTTCTTTTTATTTTTGCTTAAAATATCTCATCTTAAAGAAGCGGTTTGTAGTTTGTTTATTGCTTCCTTCGTATATTTTTAAGTAATGTGAGTGAAAGAGTAGCTGAGCTGTAGATGGATTGAAATGAATTTGAGCTTTAAACTGAATCAGATTTTTCAGGGTTCTTCACATTACAAGAAAGAAGCATACAGAGCGTTAACATGCATGTGTAATAATCTTGAGCGAAAGAATGCCAGAACATTAGCTAATCGAACATACCTTGAAAAAATATGCAAAATTTTCAAAAGCGAGAATAATAGTTATATAGCATGTTCTCTTGGCCTTATTAATTGCATGTTCAAAGCGTGTTCAAAGGGGAGAGCTAAAAGACGGTTAAGGATAGCAAAGGAATATATTAGGGTTCGTTGTTAAATGAAATTCTGTTTTTTAAATTATCATAGTTCGACCTCTTTAGAAATGTATATATGTAAACAGTATTATCGCAGTAAACTGCAAAATTTCGAACACCAATTAAAGTTTTGTGAAGTATATTTCTGTCCATTTCAGGAGTCGGAAGCCTTTGAACTTATTAGAGAATTTATGAACAGCGAATATTACAAAGTAAGAAGTTTGGCTGACAGAATATACAGTGAATATCTGACCGACGACATTCACTAAACGATAATGGCGGGATGTAACGATATAAAGTGGGCCAAGCTACAGATCTTTAAAATCCAGAACTACGTTATCAAAGTTGGAGCGGTGAGAAATTTGTGGCAAGTATCGAAGAAAAACGACTCCTAGTTTATCGAAAAGAGACTTTTGTTTAATATCTAATTTTTTTTTTTGTTTGGAAAATCTGTATAAATTGTTAAATTGTTTATGCATTTTCTTTCTCCTCAATAGAAATACAAAGTAATAAACCATTGTTAAAATTATCATTAAAATTGAAGAAACTGTTTGACCTGACTGGTTATGATGCAACAAGTGTTTTCTTCACTTATTATTGTTTTCCAGGTAAAATTATTGTTTCCATTTCTATTTCTTCTATTTGCTTTGTCTTCAAAATTCCCACACTTTAAAATTAATGATTCTTCAAATGCAATGTTTTCATTTACTACCAATGCTTAATTTTTGCTTCTGTTACATTGAATCAAAGAATTGTTCTTTTAACAATCGTTCGAAATTTAACATTGGACTTCTCAAAATCGAAGAAGAATTCATTTTTATAACACTTATATTTAAGGAGTGCTTTTCACAATGCTTTGTTTTCTTGTTATACTGCTTAATTTCGAAATATTGTGGTACTCTCTTGGAAAAAATTGAATCAAAAGTTGTCTGTTTGCTTCTTTTGTTTTCAATAATTCTAATTGTTAATCTTCCTATCTATATTTATTTTTAATACGAATCATTTGACATATATTTATGTTCATCACAATTTTGCTTTCACTGCTGTCATTTTTCGGCTTTTTTCAGTATTCTGTAACATAAATCTGATCTTCCATTGTTTTTAAAATATTTTCTTGCTTCTTGCCAAAACAATCACTTTTTTCACAATGAAGCCAAGTCCGTTTTATCAGGAAATAAAAAATTTTAATGGAAATGTAACCAATCATATGAAAGAAAATTTTTTACAAATGATAGCGATTACTCGATCAAAGAAACAAAAGATGATTGTGAGCTACGGACTTTAAGAACTTTAAAATTGAAATAGGAACTCGGAAGCCGAAACTAATGAAGAGAAATACATCCTTGAACATCGTCCGGCCTATAAAGTTTTGCAGCGTAAGATAGAATAAGAATAGGCTATCATTTGAAATATTCATAATTAATTGTAGCAGAGCAGGACAACCAATCATTTTTACTATTCACATCTCTTAAGAATAACCTAAGATTTTCAAGAAATAAAATTCAAAAAGTAATTTATGATTTAGCATTTTTGTCATTCAGTATAGGTTCATTTCGTTTTTATTAAATGAAAAGCCTTGCATATAAGATAAACTATAACAGTTTGCAACACTTTAGTGCAATTTTTTAGAAGAAATTATAATAAGAAACAACTGAAACTATTAAATTTCTTCCGGATTACTCCTTTTTTGCAAATGAAGGATCCGGAATTGCTGTCGTACCAGAATCGCGAAAGGCAAAGAAATGTAAACCATTTTAAGGTTAAAGGAGAATATAATTCTCAGAATAATAAGAAACAATTCTACGAATCAGTTGAAACTGAATTTTATTGCGAATTTGGCAAGAACCGAATCAAAGTTTCTACTCGTTGTTTAATCTTTTTCCCACTATCATTCCATCGTTTGATTTAATTCTAAGTGTGTGCAACATTAGCAAATCTTACGCTTACATGTTTGACTCTTTAGAAAATTTGATAGGATCAACTCATTTTAAAATAGAACAAATCCAGGTCATAAGATGCATTGTTGTCTTAAGATCAATATATATATATATATTGATCGTAAAGATAATTGTCGAATATCATTTGCTTTAGCGTTTCCTACTACACTACTGTTTCATAGTTGATTATCATATTTAAATGTAAAGAATCCCTTGTTTATTTGAAGTGATAATGATATTGCTAGATACGGTAACTTCCTTTTGCTACCTTTTGGTAGGAGAGAATTATTCGTGAAGTTGATATATTAAATTTATATACATTCCGTGAATGAAACATTACCGATATATCTCCTTTAAAAATATATCCTAAATGCAACGAAATTTTCAAGCCTATAATAGCACTCTAGAAAGCTTTGTTGATTACTTTTTTGCTATATGGCACCTTAACTCTTTCTCTCTCTTTGTACATCATCACCACTAATGTCCTTCTATGGTGACACGATCGATTCAACGCTGTCACATTCATTGATGATAAAGTCCTTCTATTTATGCCCCACTTTCCATATATTAAATTTATATATATCCTCAATATACTATTCTTATTGCTTATTTTGTTTAGAAGCATCATCTGCATTTATCACTTGATAATTGACTTTTGATTTCCGATTATTAGCACAACAGTTCTTATCGATCCGCTCCTTTCCCATTTTATTAAAAGGTTTTTTTCTAGTAACTGTACGACATAATCAAGTACTGAATTGTATAATATTTCGATGCTAGCTGAGACATTTTCAATTGTGAGGAATTTTTTTGAAATAAATCTAAGCAATTTTACCTGATCAAAGTGCCAGTGTATTGGATATTAAGTTAACTATTTAAATATGGACATACACGCTATGTGATATTGAATAGGTTGACACTGACATATGACATTAGATATTATTGAAGAAAATGATAAATGGTTGCTCATTCCTGTGGAATAATATGCATCACTACAAATAGTTCACTGTCTTGGCAGAAATTTATATCAAAAATTCAGTTAAAGATACGAAAAATGCAGGAGAAGACGAAAGAGATTCACCCATCGGTAAAATAACTATTTAAGAATGATTGTCTCAGAAGCAATTATTTGTAACAATAATTATGCTAAGCATCGCATTCTCCAGTTGACTTGTCAGCTCGACTTTTCTGCTTCTTTTTCATTGATTGTGAAATAAATATATTTCAATGACTTCAATCTGTTCAATCAGTTTTATTCATTTATCTCATTTGAATATGTTATCGCGTGGGTCATGTTTCTTTTCCTGTTAATATCCTCTAAAAATGACTGCGACATAATATTGTGACATAATGATGTTCAGAGAAGTGGGATATATTTTCGAGACTTGAAATGGACTGAAATGTAATTTCCATCTGTGACTGACTGAAATATTTCATTCAATCAGTTCTTTTTCAAAACTACACATAATCGAGCGAAAAAAAAGATCCAAAATCTTTCAATCGACTAAGTGAATGAAAATGCTGGTAATTACTTTTAGAATTTTCCTTCAGAAAATCGTAAAGTAAAACAGGTAGTCATTACTTAATGAAGCATTGAATGATAATTCAATTTTGACGTAAAATGTTGTAAAAGTTACTACTTCAAGTTTCAATCACTTTAATATTTCATGAATACAAGTGTATAATTACCCTGATCGATTATTTAATGTAAAAAATATCTAAGGAAATCAGTTAGCAGTATACTCATGCGACACATATACCCATACTTTGAACGTGTTCTTACTCATGCGACACATATACCCATACTTTGAACGCTTCACTTTTAAATGATTATGTATTTTGTTTCAGCATTTTCATTGAAATGCTTTTTGCAATCATTGCTTCGTATCAGTATTAACACAGAAAATATCGTACATAATAATGGTCACTCTTGGAGAAAGTTTCTTTCGTTTAAAGACGATTAAAAATGTGAATGTTATGGAAACACGGCTGAAGCGATGCCTCACTATAACTGATATTACACTTCTTGGTGTTGGCCATATGGTTGGAGCCGGTATATATGTTTTGACCGGTGGGTAATCTTTTCGGCTACTTCTTTATTCTTTCCATCAAAGTGTGCAATTTTATTTATTCTTGAAGAAAATTAAATGTTTCGCAATTTCTGTAAAAATTTGTTACAAATTTTTACGACATGATCTCTTCAAAAAGGGAAATTCTAATTTTGAATTTTATATTTAGAAGCTTCCAATGCTTAGAATCTAAATCACACTATTAATTACAAATAATTATAGAATTTATGTTCGGCACATAAATCAAAAATAACAAATATAAAGTAAAAAACATTTTCTTTAAAATATTCTAAAAAGGAAGTACTTTCGGTCATTTATCCATGAGTACCTTTGATTCGTTTAATCTTCACAGTCCATCACATCGAAACCAATTATTGTTTCTTCCAGCGATATATACGTTGTTGTTTAATCATTTACAAAATTTTCTTCTCGCTCTTTAATTCAATCTTCCACTGATCTTATCAGATTTATCGATATTTTACCTTCCGTCTTTCTTTCAGTCATGAGATTAAAATTTTTGTAAAATTAGGGATATGAACGGAGAAAGACCAAAAGAATTACATAACTTCAACAAGTAATCAAAAGAACAAGCTTGGCGCAATGCTTTGAAAATAAAAAGCTTATATTTCTTAGCGGAAAAAAGTGAATTGTGAAAGAAAGCAAAAAAAAAAATCATCTAAACTCAATTAACAATAACTAAGTTTTGCTGAAATGAATTAATCTTGAAGAAAATATAAAGAGTAAAACTAAGAATGGAGCGTTATTTCCGTTCACAAATTGATGTAATCAGCTATGATAACTGATAAAATTATATCTGAAATACATACACAAGCTAACAATACTCATGGTATTAGCTATGATTAAATATTTAAGGTTCTTTCTTGCAATCATAATTAACAAAAAGTTCCTCTTTGCTTATTAAAATTAATTAGTCACCACATTATAACTCTTATCACTTTGCCACATCATTGATTTCTTCCTAAAGCCTTCTATTAATTTCAAAGAATGATTGAAGAAAAGGTTAGATTTTGAATACTACTTTTCTTAATAAATGGACGATTCTTCTACTTTATGGTTGAACAAGCTCAAGCAGAGAAAAATTCTGATTTAATTAAAAATGGGACATTCTGCTTGTGGATTGTCATCAGTTTTAGATTTCAGTTGGTATCTACACTCAGATGTAATAATTTTTTATATCTGAAAAAATAAACACGAAGAATGCTATGATAATATGTTAATGTTTTCAGGTTCTGTGGTTCGTAACATCGCTGGGCCTTCCATTGTGATATCGTTTGCACTAGCTGGATTTGCATCATTCCTCTCTGCATTATGTTACGCAGAATTTGGCGGAAGGTTGAACTGAAATAAATTCAATGATTTAACTGAAATTGTTTTTAAAATTCCACATTTGAAGCAGTTTGATCATATTTAGATTGACGCATATCATATTGAAATTTATTAGATAGAAATGTATTTAATTTTTTACGTGGACAATTCTTACCATAAAAAAAAATGCTCAAGCTGAATGTATACGATGATATCAATATTTCTACTGTCATTTTTCAACTTTATAAACTTTCAGATTTCCAAAAGCGGGCAGTGCTTATACTTATGTGTACATCGGTGTTGGTGAATTATGGGCATTTGTTGTTGGATGGAATATCATTCTTGAACACATGCTTGGTGCTGCAGGTGAAATCTTTTAAGCACTATTGCGCTTCCCTTTCGGTTATTGTTTTGTTTATTTTCGAGTTTATACCCAAGTGTTTCTTTTCCAGCAGTGGCTCGATCATGGTCTGGTTATTTGACATCTCTAGTTGACGGCTCTCTCAAAAATTCAAGCATTGTTACCATCGGACATTTTGATGTTTGTTTGATTATTGTAATCGAAAATTTGCAAATCCAAACAATTGATGATTCAGTGATAGCAGCATTACTTTTGCATTACTTGTATTACATTTGGGTGGTAAGCTAAGCCATCTTATAAACAATTTTTTTAGCAGTCATTTTTCGCTGACTCTCCAGATCTGATCGCATTTTTGGCAGTTGTAGCAGTTGCAGTATTTACTGGTCTTGGCTCGAAAACATCCACTAATTTCAATTCTTTATTCACAATAATCAACATGCTGGTAATTTCCTTGATAATTTCAACATTTCAAATCTTTACTATTATTCGACATGCTAAATTTCTGCAGGTTATTGCATTTGTGGTTTGTTATGGATTTACATTCGCAGACTTTACACTTTGGTCTGTTTATAAAGTTGACTCTGCAAAATCCTCCTTCTTTCCATACGGTATTGGTGGTACCTTTGCTGGAGCTGCAAGTTGTTTTTTTGCTTATATTGGCTTTGATGGTTTAGCAACTGCTGGCGAAGAAGCTTCCGGTAAAGTCAAGAAAAGCTATTTTATTAATATATCATTCATTGCAAGAAGATTCTCACATAAATGAAACAGGCGCAAATGAGTATTGTTACTTTTCATTTTCATTTGTCCATTTAATTTCTCATATTAATGAAATTTTCAATTTAAAAAATTAAAAAGCTTTTTAATGTATGACCTGTAATTTAGACCCAGCTCGAACAATACCTTTAGCGACATTTATATCGATGTCTATCGTAACAGTGGCTTATATTCTGATGGCTTCAGCATTAACTTTAATGGTTCCGTTTTGGAAGGTGATTAGCACAGTTCTTTTCAATTTTCTTTTAAGTTTAATAAATTTGAAAACAAATAAATATTTTAAAGTAGGAAGTAGAAATTGACGAATTCTTCCTGAGTATCATTTAAATTATGTTTCACTAGGGAACTTATTTCATAGGTAAATCCTACAGCAGCATTTTCGGATGCATTTGCAAGTCGCGGTGCAACTTGGGCAAAATATATTGTCTCTGTTGGAGCTATGTCAGGCATGACTACAAGTTTGGTTAGTCTATAGACATATTTTCGACACTTCTCTAAATTCAATGACAATGTCAACTGTCATTTGCTGGAAAACAATTTGATATGGTTCAGGTCTTTTTCCATTTTACTTCATCTCTTCTACTCAAAAATGTTCAATAGATTGTTCACTAATTAATAAATTCAAATGATTAAGATTGGCTCTATGTTTGCCCTCCCGCGATGCGTTTATGCAATGGCCGAAGACGGACTAATATTCAAGATTTTTGGACAAGTTAATGATAAAACTCAGGTAAACCTATGAAATAATTTAGTATGTCACTTTTTTTTTCAAATGTAAAATAAAATAATTTAAAATTTATTAACAAATGTTGTTGCTTCATTAATGTTTAAAGAAGTCTTTAAGCAAAACGTTTTCATAAAACTGAAAGAAAATAGAGTGTCTGTTACAGGTACCATTGAAAGCGGTAATTGTTTTCAGTGCTATTACTTCGATAATAGCATTTCTATTTGATATTGAGACTTTAGTGGAGTTTCTTTCGATTGGTACTCTTCTAGCTTATACGATTGTTTCTGCCTGTGTCATTGTTCTTCGATATCGTCCAGCTCTGAATGAAGAAGATAATATTATTGAAGGAAATGGTATGAATGTATGAATTCATTAATGTAAGGAACAATCTTTCCAAATAGAAATTTCACCAAATACACCTGAAACTGTGGATAGGTAATAATTACTCATTGAAGAAGTTTTTGGGGAAAACTTTTTGATGTAAATGTTGATAGTGCGAATGGAGTACAGGAATATAATAATTCCTTTATTAACAGAAACAACCGTATAATAAATTTTATAAAGAAGCAAGAATAATTGGAATTTCTTTGAATAAGTTGATCCATACTATATAATACGTATATAGTGTTAAAGTGGGAGTGATCATGATAAATTCATTGCTAAGGTCATCATACATTAATAATGTTACATGTTAATGCATACAAAAAAACAAGGGAGGTAATTTAATGTATGAAGAATTTTTCTTCTACACAAAGGCTTTGAGGTATAATATAATAAACATGAGTTAGAAATATGTGAGGTCAAACATTTGCACATAATTTTGCGAAGGGATCATCGAACATATTTTAGAGTTTAGGAACTGTTTTAAATTTTAATTTTCATTGTGCTAATACATGTACTTTTATTTCTTATATCTTTTAAAACCACTAAATTTTATCATATACAGTGTCCGCTTAAGTCATGGCATTTCAATAAAAGAGAGCTTAAAAAGTATATATATATATCAATAATGAGGAAATACAGAATAAAAATAAAAACTGGTCTTAATTCTAGGAGGTCGGATAAAATTCTGGATGCCAGGATATCGCTGGTTTAACATTTTGAAACCAGGAAAACTCGTGCTATGGTGTGTTTTCACGATGATATTTGCTAATGCCGGTATCAGTATCATTTTTACTACCACATTTGTGCACACTCTACTTGGTTGGATCCTTATATTCACTTTTGGAATCATCGCTGCAAGTGCATTCATTTTAATCTGTGCACATCATCAAACTAATGAGCAGATTTCATTCAAGGTTATTGCTTTTCAGTATTATTACCACTACTACTACTAGTAATAATTAATAATAATAGTAATAATAATAATAATAAAATAATAACAACAATAATAATAAAAGCCAAAGAAATAGATGCTCACTAATAATATCACTAATTGCAAACATGTAACAGTGATTATCAAATCACTAAACGATGCTGAAATTAGTGCAGACTGGCCCTACTCGTTTCATCCAGTTTCAGCTTCCAAATTCCCACTTAATATTACATATGCTTTAGGTACCATTGGTCCCTCTCATACCAGCAACTAGCGTACTAATCAACATTTTTTTAATGTTCCATCTGGCTCCCGTGACTTGGATCCGACTTGCCATTTGGCTAGTTGTCGGTGAGTTCCAGATGTTAATATTTCTGTATAATGCCATGTTCGACTCGAAGATGGTGATTTTTTTATGCTGTTGCATGTTAGCATTACAAGCATTAATGAAAATGTGCCAAATGTAAATGTACAGAGTTGCAATGACTTCTTTATTTTGGCGAAGTTATAAATTTTAATTTCACCTTTAGGGCTTGCAATCTATGGCTTCTATGGCATTAACCATAGTCGGGAAATACAACCGGATTCCGAATTAATCACGGAAAGCACGACATATGAAAGTATGGCCACTACTGTTACAGTGCCGTAATCGATTGATGACTGCTGATGAAGGATTAAGTGACCAGAGGAAATTCTTGTGAAGATATTCTTTTCCGAAACTCCAAGTAGAAAATAGTAGAATGATACATACAATTCCCCACCAAATATTTTACTATTTCCACAATTCTTCTTCTGAATTGTTGTAAGAAATATATATGTATATATATATATATATATATATATAATTTCTTATTAGCTTATATTTATTTACTTCAAGATCATATATGATTTGGAGCAACACATCATTTCGTTAGTTTGGTTCCTCATTCAATTTCAGATCTCGGCAAATTAACCTCTCATAGAAAAGGACCCTCACGCTTCCTGTAATACCCAGTTTAATCCCATAAACCAAGTCATGTAATAAAATGAAATTAAAATTAGAATCATTTCTCTTTACATCATATGTCAAATGTTGACTACACGTCAAATGTTAAAGTCTTCACTAAACGCTAAAAGATACACGGCATACATACATGAAATATAATCAGTTAAATATCACTTGTATTAGAGTTAGAACAATCAACTGCTCAAAAAGAACAAAATAATAAAAATAGATGCAATCAAAAAATACAGACTTAGCCTAATTAAAAACCAAAAAGTAATTTTAGACATAAAATATTGAGAGATAAACATAATCACACATTACGACAAAAATTTGAGGCCAATTTTGGATCACTTTTTAACTAAAAGAAAGATTGGTTTAACCAAAAACAAAAAGATATATGGAGCTTTTGAATTCCAGGTCTTCAATTCCTTTTTATTGACAATATCAATTTGTAAATTTTCAATAATCCATAATCACATCCAACAAACACAGGAGCTCAAAGCAACATTACGCATGAAAGTCTTGGCAAGACAGATTTAAAAATGAGAATAGAAGACAACAGGCAAGATATTTTCATAAATGAGGCAAGATTTGCGATAACATTAGATTTGAAAATCAGGAAATGCATTTAACATATTTGTTAGCAATAAGTAGCACTGATGAGAGCAATTAAGCAGAGTGAGAACAGTGACAGGCTTTTAGTTCGTAAAGATGCCATCCACATAATTAGTACGCTGAAAGTATAGGCGACCAGAATAATGTAAAAATATGCACATACATCAAATGAAGATTAGAGGTCAACATAGACTCACTTTAACTGCCTTTTTTCACTAGCTTTTCATATGCACAATTCTGAATTGCATATGAAGATATTTCTTTTAAATTTATAACCATAAAACAAACAAAACTCAATTATCGCTAAAACGTTTATGCTTAAAAAATTTTTTTAAAAAGAAAATAAAATCGCAACGTTTCCATAATTTATGCGGAAATGGAATATAAGTTCTACAGTTAAAAATAAAGTGATATATGGATTTTTCGAAAAATCCAACAATTAAGCCGATAGCGGCTTCGTATTACCACTGTTACTAGTGACAGGCATACTCGGATATGGTTTACTATCCTTCCCACGCTTTAGCTGTACTTTCAGCCGTTTTGAACCTATCTGGAACCCATTAAGTGCCGAGATAGCATTCTGAGCCGAAACGACATTGTCGTAGCTTACAAAACCTGAAAACACTGAATCTAAGAACCTGAACAGAATCAGGTATTAATTTTACTCTTTTTTTTTTTTTTTTTTCACTCCTGTGATAACGAATTGGTAGTCCTCTATCATCGAATACTAAAATAATAAAGCTGGAGGCTTACCGAAACATTTGCTCAAATTAGTTTGCTTATCAATGAAAACTTTTGCCGAAATAATTGATCCAAAAGGTGAAAATGTGGTGTATAAATCGTTATCAGTGAAGTCCTGTGGGAGATGATAAATGAACAGATTGCACCCATCTGGTCCCTTTGATTGTCCACCGCTTGTGGTATTCATTCCTGTATTAGGTGTACTACTAGCAGCAAGCAAATTATTAGTCGCTAACTGTGGATACAAACCTGAAAAAGGAACAGCAAATATGAAATGAGGTGAAAACTCGCACTATATGCCTGTTAAACAGAAATTACACAGTGATAAAGATCAGCTACTGTGAATAAATTAAAAAAAGCGATATGCCTTATATAACTCCTAACAACTTATTTTCGGAAATGGTGCAGAAAAATTCGATAAAATCAAAATTGCTCACCAGCAAACTGCTGCAGTCCAGCATATGCTTGTTGCAGAGCATCGATGCTGCTCGATGCATTTTGTCCCGTCAACTGAATAAGATTATTTCCTCCAGTTGCACCATTTATTTTATTATCACTAGCAAACGAACCTGAAAAAAGTACAAAATCAAATATGTGCATGATAAAGAAGCAATTAGTTTAGAACTAGCAATATGAGAAATCACTATCAAAAGCTTCGAAATAACTTATCTTCACAGTACTGCACTTACCACTAGGAGTAGAAATTGGCGTGTTAGCAAGTTGCTGATGGGTAAGAAGTTCTAATAATCTTTGCTGCTGCTGAAGCGCAGCTAATTGTTGATGCTGCTGTTGCTGAAGTGCAGCTGAAATAGTAGTATTAGTAAGTAATTAGCTTTTGAATCTACGGCTCTAGAAGCATAGGTTGCTGTATTACTTCCATAATCTTCGTTGTCGCTTTCATGTAAATTTCCAAATGCAATCAGAAAGCATATAGGAAGAATATTTGATAACAAATGGACATTGAAACATGTTCACGAATAACAAGCAAAAAAGAACAAAGAGCAATCCCACAATCACAAGAGAGTATTGAAGTTAGAATCACAACAAACTTTAATTTTTTTGTACTTCATAACAAAGAAATGCTAAATGAGTTTGATATCACAGTCGTCGAATAACTTTTTCAATAAAATCACTGCGTAGGTTATCAATAGTATGAAATTTCTTAATTTACTTGAAGCATTTATCCAAAATTACCACCGCTACCGAGCGACAAAACTTAAGATCAGGTTTCATAGATACAATTCATAGAAATCAGGTAATTTCACAAAGAACCAAAAATCTATTAGTTGGCTCACACCAAATCTTCTGTTGTCAGAATACCAAGGAAGCGCAAGCCAGTAAGATTTCAAAATTAATGACAGCAGTGTAAAGAAGTGGAGAAATTGATCTTATTACATGTAAATAATGCAGTTCCATAGGTAAATGAAAATAACAAACTTCGAGACTTGAAAAATACGCAAAAGAAATCCATATTACGACGAACAGTGCATGCAATCAAGTCGGCTTACTCTCTAGCAGTGCAAAATAGTTACAAAAAATGAAAGGTGTCGAAAATACTGCTTGAAACTAAATGTTATACTATAAAGAAAATGGAAAAAAGCAGGAGGGAGCCCATGCATTGTTTTTACGATTATGTACCTGATGAATCTGCATTTGAGAGGCCCGGTGAAGAGGAGAGTGATGCCAGGGTTTGCTGACTGGCAAGAGGAAAGGGTGATGATTTTACAGATGTTTGATTCGATGTTGCTGTATTCTCGGTTAAACGACCCAAACCAGATAATACTACAATACAATCACTGTTTAATTGTTTTCGTAAGACATCCAGATCTCTAATGATAATTCCCATGATTCTAAACCGTTTGAAATTTAATTCCGTATTACTGACTTTCTGCATGTTTCCAATCAACAGAGATTTCTGGGCTAATAATATTTTGTCTGGTAAATCAATAGTTGACAAATTTAAAAGGGCATGAATTAAATGAAAAAAAAAAAAAAAATACCATTTCCAAGCAAACTTAGAACATTGGGTTGTGATGCTGTCTGGAGGAGAGCTGCGAGTGCAGTTAACTGAGTTCCCAGAGCAGGACTGGTACTGCTGTTAGGTTGTGCTGTTTGTAATAACTGCAATAAACATACTCATGAAGATATAACGAATAACGTGCATTACTATCTAGACTAACAACAGGTAGAATAATTTCATTAGAAATTTGGAAAGATAAATTCTTTTCAAAATGGTTTCGAAATAATGGTCTACAGTGATTTGTTCTGTAGCTACTTTGCAACAACAAAGAACGCTCGTGTATTTCCCAAACAAAGGCAGATAGTTTGAATTATCCACTTACTGAAGCAGGCACATTATTTCTAGGTAGTAAACATGCAAGTCTTCATAAAACATTCCAATGTACAACAAAGTTATTCTTGACTGCTGAATTTTTCCTAAGCTATAAGCTATAAAGTTACAGTTTGTATCAGCAAAAGAAGGAACTGATCAAGGCAATCATAAACCTACACAGATATGTATTTTAATGCTTACAAAATTAATACATTTGAATAAACTACAATTATGTCAATTTCTCTTAAAAAAAGAGTTCCACAAAAAATTTTACCTGCTGCAACGTGCTAGCTAAACTGACTGTGTCCTGCAATGAAGTGGTTGTCGCTGGCGTTCCACAACTTTTTTTTGCATCTTTTTCCTTCTGAGTATCAGCAAATTTCACGACAATCGGTTTTGAACAACCCTAAAAATTTATTATTTCAGACAATTCATCAACGGGAAAAGATTAAGTTGCAATGTTTAAAAATTTTCTACTAAAAGAAATTCTTTTTTATAGCAAAAGATGGTTTATATGCTCCCTTGAGTAATAACAATTAACAATCAGAGGACTTCAATCAGAGGACAAAAATAGCATGCTACTTGGCTCCTTCATAAAAAAGATATAAAGTACACAGAAAAATTACAATCTTTACAGAAAATAACACAGATAACCTAAAACAAAGAATGAAAGGATTTGTTAAACGTTAACAGAACTGACCCATCAGGACATTCACCAACATGATGAAAAGTTATAACACTGTGTGCCATGCTACCACAATTACGCCTTCAGTGCAATGAACATTTAATTTAAATTGTAATATTTCTAAAGTAAAAATATGGTACGAGTTAAGCATAAAGATAAAATCTAAGTCATATGTACCACTAAAATGGAAAAAGAGCTTTATGAAGTAAGTGTCGATCAGTAAAAACATAGACCGTTGTAAATAAGATAGTACACAGTCAGCTGAGTAACATACGATGCTTATCGGGGTGT